GCGATTATCTTTGAGGAGACAATTTGCCGAGCAAGTTTTTTGCACAACATTGTGCATTCTCGTATAGAGTGCCCAGAGTTACTAAGGCTAATTAACTTCAATTCCGGTATACGACAACGTGCGCAAAGAATTTTCAGGTTAGACGTACACAAGAATAACACTTCCTTTTTCAACCCTGTTGTTAAAATGTGCCGTGATTACGACGAGATTAAGCGTAGTAACGTACATCTAGATATATTCGATAGTAGTCTGGTTATATTTAAAAGAAATTTACGCGTTTCTCTTAACATTTAATCTATTTTTTATCTGTTTTATTTTTGCTGAGACTAAGATTATACTGCAGTTATATTATTATGCTGTGTACACTCTTTGGGATTGTAGTTTAGATCAACACAAATATATTTTTAATTTAGACCTTTATATAACTACTGTCTGTTTGTGTACCTTATTCAATAAAATAAATAAACGATTTGAATTTGTACCTACAAGCGTCGAGGAGAGGCTGTCAATTGTTAGCCGCGGATGTGCGCTTGAGTGTTTTAGCTGAGTGATTTAGCTGAAATGCGGCGAACCGGCGAAGGTGGAACACTTGGAATTTTAGTCAATACAAGCTCAGCTCCATTCGTCCTTGTTGCCATTAGGTGAATAAACGTCAGGCATTTCCCTTCAAAATAATGAGATAAAATACACAACCATTACTAGTATGACCTTATCCACCTTATTACAAGAAGTAGGTTATAATAAGTCTCAAGTATAAACTAAAGTCTATTTCAATAAAGAAATCTCGTTGAAAAATAAAATACATATAAGAACTAATATTTAAACTATGAGTTTGACAGCAAATGTTAAATTTCGTGAAGACTAGCTCCGCTGCTAAGGGAGTACTTTAGTTAGAAAGACTTAAATAACATTTTGGAATAAGAATGTGTTGTACGTTTATCGTAAATAATAACCATCCAATCCAGAAAAACAGTGAAATTATACTCGTAAATAAGCAATATTACTGGCCCAACATAAATGCTGTAACGTAAATAACATTACGCCCCTTAACCAGTAACAAAATTAGGTTAAGTGCCTACTTGTAGCAACGAAGCTAGGTTCTCGATATGGCGGTCTAATTTATTAGGTAATTGAAACTTTATAAGTCTAACGCTTGCTATATATTTAAGGAATAACTTTATTAGGAATAGCTAACATGCTCAATATCATAAGCTCATAGCTCAATGGTTGGAAATATAAGTTACTTTTTATTACCTATTTAATTTAAAGTTTTTTAAAATTTTACAGTTCATGATAAATGGCACCTTACCTAGTTAAATATTTTTCGATATTGTTAAGTATCAATTCTTATTGTTTGTTGTGTATTAATATAATGTAAGTAATATCACAAGTCAAGACACACAATGATTTCTTAAATTTACGCGAACACTACACATTGTATAAAATTATATTAACGGATATTATCGCGTTTAATTAACTATTTTAACTTATGTTTAATTCCCGACGTTTACAACAAGCAAGCGTTTACAGCAACAACGTACTACAAGCCGCCGATGAAGATTAGTCAATTTTTACCATCCACCAAATGATTCCTCTACAAGATGCAGGAGTGTACAAGCTAGATTGTGAATGTGGTTCCCCTTACATAGGTCAAACAAAAAGATATATAAAAACCCGCGTGAAAAAACATATAGCTGACGTGAAGCACCGACGCTACGGTAGTCTGCAGTCTGTGAACATGTTCAAGATCGTAATGGTGGGGCCATTACATTAAATTTGATAAACCTCGCAAAAGAATACCGATTCCTACCAAGGATGATACGCGAGGCTATTGAAATTAAAAAAACATCCTAATTTCAATAGAGAAGATGGATGGGTACTGCCATCTGCTTGGGATCCTATAATTAACAAAATTAAACCCAAACCCAAGCGTACCACTGCAAGATTTCAAGATACTGTAAGCTCGTTCTGCGTAGAACGGACTAAAAAATTAATATTAAAAAACTGAAAGTAGCCGGGCTAACTATGACATTGGGTCGTCAAATATCAAATCCCCCCCCCCCACCCCCGTTTAAAGCACCCGTAACGTCGGGAATAAAAAAAATGTTAAAATAGTTAATTAAACGCGATAAAATCCATTGAAACACTATCTGTTCAACATTTACTGCCAGTTGGAAAAAATAGTGGTGTAAATGATAAGTGATAAAGTACATTTTAAACACTTTTCAAACTTGTTTGTTTGAGCCACGCATCACGTAAAAATAGGAATTCATGTTACTTATTATAAATTCAATTGTAAAACTGAAGTAACAGCCTATATAAGTCCCACTGCTGGGCACAGGCCTCCTCTCATTTCTGAGAGGGTTTTTAGGGCTAGGAATCGTTCGGATTAATCCCAGCTTCCAAATTTCATGAACGCACTACGCGGCAAACCTCCCGATACCATCCGGTGTGGATCTGGATGCTTGGCAGTCCACCACTGTACGTTTCACTAAAAGTTTTCTTCCGCGTACGACCTTTCTGTGGAACAGTTTGCCACCGGCGTTTTATCTGGACCGATACGACCTAGCGACCTTCAAGAAAAGAGCTTACTCCTTTCTAAAAGGCCGGTAACTCATCTGCAATTCCCCTGGTGTTGCAGTTGTTCATGGGCGGCGGTACAAACTTAACATCAGGTGAACCGCATGCTCGTTTGCCACATCTCCTATAAAAAAAGGAAATGCCCGCCGCGCTGCCCCAATGAATGTTGGCGAACTTCACATGTAGGTATTCGAAAATTTTTTTCTTATTTCTCTGACATGCAGATTTCCTTACGATATTTTCCTTTACCGTCGAGCGTGTAGTTGTAGCTATGTAACGATGTAGTTTTTAACGTGATCTTTATAAGAGATATGAATAAGTCGAAAGTGGATACTTTGACTTTCTTCTGACTTTGACTTTGAAGAAAACCTCACCTGGATTGATCTGGTGGAGTTTTAGAAGAAATATACGGGACATTTGTTAGAGTTTCGATCACCATTACCAAATATAAAATTTAAAATTGCACATTGTCTACCTAGAGATACCTAATAATTTACGCAGTATACACGCCCAACCCGATTGCGATCTCCGCCGGGAACAATCAAAATTTTCATTGCAAATTAAAAAAACGTTGTGAGGAAACGTATGTCTAAGAACATGTATATGTATAGTCCGTCAACAAGCATTAAAGCAGCACTCCAAACAAATTGCTCTATAACCTTTCAAAAATAAAAAGAGAACTGTGCCCAACGGTGGAAAATGTATGGTACATATTTAAGAAAATCGCACATGGGGTAACAGAAAAAAAAATTACGAGCAAACGTCATCCTGGCTCAAATATATACCTCGTCAGTCATGACTCATGACAGACAATGACAGACAGACAGTAACCTGTGACCACATTATCTTTCGAAGGACATAGCTGCCGATATAAGTTACAAGAAATTTTTGATCTTGATCCTCTTGAACAATACGGAAAATTCCATGTGTAATATTTCTGGAACAGTGGCCAGGACTTTTATCATGGAATCCGCCATATGACGTACATTATGACTAATCCAAAATTTAGACAGCATGCAACTGTACAAAATAATAAAAACAGTGGATGGAAAATATGATGGAGAGACATAAGAGCTCATATTATACTAGAATAGCAATCACTGTATTACATTCTCTTGGATCATTCTGTTTATTAATGTAAACCCAATCAAAACCCGTATATAAAAACCCGTTGCGAAGTTAAAAAGATGTAAGCGTACAGACAGCGGGAGGCGACTTTGTTCTATACTATGTCAAAGAATATATATACACTATGACTATGTAGAGATGTAATTAAAGCTTGCAAGACATTAAGAAAAGCAATCGGCCTAGCTACGGTATTATACTGTTTTTAGTGGAGATTTTAAATACTTTGGTATTCGTAATGCCTCGAGAAACCAAGAAAGATATAATTAGAGCCTACGTAAAAAGTTCAAGTCTATATCACAAAATTATATCTAGATAAGCATTTATAAAATAAATCACGTGGGTGAACGAGTTGTACTCGACATCAGAAAAACAATATTTTCTGAAGGACAAACGGGTATCTAGATAAACTTGGGACGTAAAACATTATCTTAATACAAAATACAAGGACGCAAAATTTTGTCCAATCAATTGTTAGAGCCGTTACCGAAAACAAAGTACATCGATATCTACACACACTATCAAACCCCTACAACCCTCGATAGTCCACTGATGAATAAAACAAAGTACATCGATATCTACACACGCTGTCAAACCCCTACAACCCTCGCTAGTCCACTGATGAACAAAACAAAGTACATCGATATCTACACACACTATCAAACCCCTACAACCCTCGCTAGTCCACTGATGAACAAAACAAAGTACATCGATATCTACACACACTATCAAACCCCTACAACCCTGATGAACATAGAACTGCTACATAGATTTATTGCGTGATCATTCTATTAAGACCCACATTTGACAAGCGGGTCTGGCAGTTACAATTTTTTTATTGTTCTGGAAGTTCAGGAAGACTGAGAACAGAATACAACAATACGGTGATGTTTATATGGGGTAGTGGACTATCTTATAGCCAACCATGTATATGTATGATTAAAGCTCTAGCATCTACTATCCCCACGTCTTTGACACTGCATATGCACGGTAAGCAATTTTCCTTTAGTTAAGGTCGTAGAAAAAGATGGTTCAGATCAACAAAGATAAATGTCGTCTACAAATAAGGTCTTAATGAGCCTTAAAACAGGAAAATTGTGCATGTCTAGATCATATATTGCGTGTACGTATGGCCACAAATAATAATTAACCTCTAATATAATTAAGTTTCGTAATCGATTTATTACAAGGTCAGTTTCCTCACGTCTCAACCACACAGATGTTGGAGACATCAAGTGAATATTAAATGCAACATTCCTATATTACGTTCCATTGTCAATTTGTCATGCCTAACAATGCTGTAAGTTTTATTAGTTGAGGTCGTGCTTTGTCTTTCTTTTGTTCAAGAAACGCTGTAACGGAATTGTTTGATCAGTTTTTGGTATTTCCGAAATAATAAGATGATGATGATATAACGAAAATTTAGCGATTTTAATTTTTTTTCTTGCATTCATAACGGCTTCCGTAATAATATATACACCTACTTTACGTAGAAATGTAGATTTGTAGAACTGGCCAATATTTAAGCATGTGTGTCTCCCAATCTTATAACAGCTTTAGACTAAATTTTAAAACGTCGCTTAAATCTAATAAGACTCGCCCGTCTAAAATGTTTATAACCTGTACTTTGTTTTTATGAGCTTTAATGTCTGAGAACGTCAGCTTGATTAACAAATACTTTTCAAAAGAATTATTAATACTTTATTTATTTACTTATTGGAAGGAATCTTGAAGACATGTCATCGAATGCCGGAACAAATTTGTGTCTGAAGTTAAGTTTTTGCTGAAAAAATATATCCGATTGGGGACGACTAAATCTGGCCCATTTTAACCCTCAGAAACACAGGTTGACGCGTTTATCGCTATAAAGAACTCCGTTGTTCTATCGCCTCAATTTTAGGGTACTCTCTTTATTGCCTTAGAAAGCATCAGAATCCTTGCCGTCGACGTATCGAGTGACGTTAGGTTCCGCAGTAACTTTTTCTTCATATTTATATGAGACCACTACTGCAGCCTATTCAATAAGAAATAATCTTTTGCACGAATAGATGGCACATTTCCAAGAAATCGGTAAACAATCATATAAAAACATACGCGTCCAATATAAGAACCTACTCGTTTATTGAAATCGGTTATGCGTGTTGATTGGTTTGAATGTTGGTTGTTAGAATATAGTTGTAAGAATTTTAATTCTACCCGCTTTCTAATCTTAAATGAAACTAATGTTTGTGCAGCGCACTAACTAGAACTACTAGAATTTTGTCTAAGTCTAATTATAGTAAAAACGAAGCGACAAGCGAGCGAGTGGGGTGTTGGCTTAACACCTCTATGGAAAGCGTTGAGCTGAGCTTGTGTAGGGATACCAGGGCCAAGAATTAAGAAATTAAAATTTCAATGGAAAAAATCCGGTAGTCAGCCGGAATTCCGGGAATAACAAAAAAAATACAGCCTATCACTCCAATATGTCCACCCTATATTTGTCAAAGTTGCCGCTCTTGGGAAACAGGTTGAGAACCGCAGTTCTTAAGCAGGAAGATACTGATGTCCATCTCCTGGTTCAGTTTCCCTCTGTCGCCTTTTACGACACTCACGGGATGATATGAGATAGTGGATATTCTTACACCGCCACTACCCAGTTAACCCCGAGAATAAAAGTAGATTGAATTTCAACTTTATTGCTAAATACCCCGATCGGCGACTGCAGCGTCAAAGGTGTGAGATGGACACATCTTGCCTTGCCATCTTAGACGATCCCGTCTCGTCTACCCACCTGCCGACCGTGACGATTACTGCAAATTCTTCCCCGTCGGGAGAGACTCACGTCCAGCCAGGGACATTTACAGAAAAAGGAGATAGTCAGGATAGCTAAAGTATATTTTAATAGTTGATAAAGATGCAACCCTCATTTCCTTCTTAGCGATCCGTGTGAATAAATGGGTGCGTTTGGCAGAAAAAAGCGCTAGCAAGCGCTTACAAGCGCTAAAATAGTTTTCGGCCAGGACACGATTGCTACTTCAGTAGCGCTGACACAATCCGCCATTTTGCTTATTTAATTTGTTTGTTTTGAAGTAGAGTTTATAAGTTGTTTTGTGCAATATTAGTTTTAAGTAATATAATGGCATGAATAAACATATACATGTTATTAAAAATTCATGATTGGTAAGTTTTTAATATGAATACTTTACAAACATATGTTTAAATTAGGTTAGGTTCCCCGGTTAAAACTAACATCGTGTCCTAGAGGAAAATAGCTACTTACGCTTTGACAGCACTTACCGCTTACGATCGCCATTTTGTTTACAAGCGCTTGCTAGCGCTTTTTTCTGCCAAACGCACCCAATGAGTCAGTTTGCCCCGAATACTGCGTTCCTCAAGCTTTACTTTATCATAGTAGTAGAAACGAGGCATTTCATCTTGGTCCTCAGGGCGACAACGCATGTGCATTTCGATTGTTAATTAAAGTTAGATGTATGTGCCTATGCATCATCGTCTGTCATCCTTATTCTATAAAAAAAATAAACAAGTACTAACTTCGTAACTATTATGGAATTTTGTACCAAAGGTATAAAAACAGTATGACCTATATATTAACAGATTTTTATAAAAGAAAATCGCCAGCTGAATAGTGAACAGAATAACTCATTCTTCTTTTGTTTGTAAAAGTCTTTGCTCGTGAGCTTGAATAAAGACATTATATAAGTATCATTTGTTTGTTGGCAACGGCTTTTACCTATTTTCTTTTCTTCCGTAGTAGGTACTTTGCTTTCTAATTCATTTGCCACGTCATACTTTCGTCGTCATAAATTTTTCGTCATATATTTTATGACGGCTTATTTGCGTTTGTATCACATTCTTAGAAATTCAATAATAAATATAGTAACTTATATTTTGTATACAGAAGTTTTAAAGATATTTCAAGATAATATCTAATACAAATTCTTAAAATAGGTCCAAAGAAACTTAAATACAAAATAAAATACGTAGGTTTTATGTATTTTTATGTATCTCTTATCATTATTAATTAATTTTAACATCTTAATGTACTGGATTTCCGCTAATAACGACTGAATCTATTAATTCTCAATCAATTAATGCTATAAAATTGATAAATTTTAAAATATGCGGTATACGTACTAAGTTTGAATTTACATTTTAAGAAAAAACATCATTAACAGTAAAATTACATGAAAAATCAATTGTTAATTTTTTGTTAATAATTTTTAGTAAACTCCAAAAAAAAAATATTAAAAAACAAGCAAATTCTCTATTGCAACTTTTTGTAGTTTTAATTATTCTTTTCACCGCCATCTTTAAAGATTATTATCCTCGAATTTTTCCTTTTTATATGCGTATTATGTAAGGGATATTTACGATTAGACTACAAATTTAATAAAGATATTTTTTGTTTCAGTTATCACAAGGGTAATGCTGCAATGTCGACGCGCGCGGTGAGGGCGGCGCTGCTGTGCGCATGCGCACTGCTCTTGCAGTACGGTACGTAACTAAACGTCACAACCACTGCTTAAAAATACTCTAAATAATAAAAAGTAATCAAAAAACGAAAATATCAACAATAAAATAGAACTATAGGTCATCTTACTCTTTAATACGTCGTAAGGGTGCGTTTCCAGAGATGTGTGAGAAGCTAATTGGTGCGAGTAGAGGTTTTTTTTAATATAGAATAAAAGTGATAAACGAGCGAAACGATCATTTATCCTCGATTAAGAATCAAAACGCAGATGCGTTGTCACCCATGAGGATTAAGGGCCAGCGCGCACGGCGGCAACAATGGTGCGGTTTGCTCCCGCAGAAATCAGTGTTGTATGGATGTGCGCGCATTGCGGTTGTCCAATCACATGCGGCTAAAATATCTGTGATTTGCCACAGATTTGTTGCGGTGCGACGCCGCACGGTTTTTTTGCATCCTATGTATTTGAAAAACCGGAGCCTTTCTTCCACTGATATAGCTTTTCTACAACTCGTATCGTTGTAAATTTCATTACCAACAATTCTTTTTAAATTGTCAAATGTTTTTATGTTCATTATGTAGTAACCAAAAAACATTTTTTAAAACTTTCTCAAATCATTATATCTCATATAGAAAAAACCCTTCATAGGTTTCGTTGCTGTTAATGGATGAACCCAATACTGCTTGTGTTTCTGTTTCCTTGCCGTTAATATTGAATAAATGCGTTTCGTAGTCCACGCTGTTCGACCTTTTGTTACGAAAGCTGAGAAACGAATGGAAAAACTTGCGGCTGTTTAACCGCAGTGCGCGCGCCTAACCAATTCAGAATTTTGCGCAGTGCGCGCTTACCCTAAAATGGCATGTCTCGTTTCTCAGTAAAAAGTGTCTCCGGTTCTCTACACTCACCATACAAAACACAGCAGCATTAAACTACTATTTGACTCTGGTATTCTGTAAGAGCGTGTGCATTCCCTGGTCAAGCCGACCCATTCGTGCTACAACCATAATATGTGGCAGCGTGGCTCTACCACATTTGAAAGCTACAAGCTAGCGATGCTGAGCAGTACAAGAATGCGTATTGGACTATTTGTATTAATGCTGAATGACAAGTTCTATTGACTGGTAGTCTACTAGCCCGCTTATCCATACCGCCTCGAGACATTCGTCGCACGCCTCCCTCGCTTGTTTTGTATGTGCAAAGACCTATACTCTTTTTCACCAGAGCTGCGTTGAGCAAGGCAAAAAAAAGGGCGTAATCCTCTAAGTGGAATTTTTCTCGCGCACCGCTTAGCTAACTCATACAGCTTTGATGGAAACGTAGTCTAATTTCGACATTATATTTTATTTAATATAGTCTATTGGGATAAAGTAAGTTGTAAAAAAACTTGAAGATATACTTTATAGTTGTCTTCCTCTCGTCGGCTTGCAATAGTGCTTGGTGCTTACTGCCAAGATTTCATATATACTTGGATACTAGACTAACCTTTATTGATCTGGATTGACGGCACGGTAGTTCGGGGATTGAGTGTTCGTTTGCGGCGCTGCATGACTGACTGCGGGTTTGAATTCCGTAAGGATAAAGTGTTTTTATGACCTACAAAAATTGGTTGTCAGCAAACGAACGAGAAAAGGGTAAAGTTTGCAAATATAGGGGTCTAGGCTCCGAATATATTTTTATCCCTTTCGGTGTCGAGACCCTTGGTCCGTGGGGTCTTTGGTCGTTCTCATCCTTAATTTTAACATTGTTCTTAATCATTTTTAAGAATAGAAGCGTATACTTGCCACGCTGCAGCTATATTATGATTGTAGGATGAATGGGTCAGCTTGACCGAGGTAAGACCACGATCCTACAAAATACCAGCGTAAAATAGCAGCTTCATACCGCTGTGTTTCGTATGGTGAGTGTAGAGATCAGGAGACCCTTTTTTACTGGAAACGAGGCATTCCATGTCAGTCCTCAGGGGTAACAACACATCTGCGTTTTGATTCTTAATCGAGGTTAAATGTTGATGTCTATGGGCCACAGGAATTACCATCAGGTGGACTGTGAGCTCCTTTGTCACTCTTATTCTATAAAAAAGAGAGAATCTAATACAGAATAATATATCTACTACCGTGCTACTGGGTATGGTAATAGGCAAACTAAAGAGAAAGCCTAAAATAAGTGATGAGCACAATATGCGCAGGCTGGACACATGCCGGCCACATATTGCCTCATATGGGAGGTATTTGCTACCGTTGCCACGGTTAGCAAGAGCAGGGAGAGACCACATTCACAATCTTACATAGGTCAAACAAAAAGGTCTACTAAAACCCGCAGTCTGCGAACATGTTCAAGATCGTCCCCACCATTACATTCGATTTCATAAACCACAAATCCTCGCAAAAGAACACCGATTCCTACCAAGGATGATACGCGAGGCTATTGAAATTAAAAAAAAATCCAAATTTCAATAGAGAACATGGATGGGTGCTGCCAGCTCCTTGGGATCCTATAATTTACAAAATTAAACCCAAAGCCAAGCATACCACTGCAAGACTTCATGATACTATAAGCTCATTTTGCGTAAATCGGACCAAAAATTAATATTCAAAAACTGAAAGTAGCCGGACTAACTATGACATTGGGACGTCAAACATCTCAGTCCCCCCCCGTGACCACGGGTGCTGTAAAGCAACCGAAACGTCGGGATAATAAAAATAAATTAAAGTTGAATTAAACGCGATAAAATCCGTAAATAATACTTTTACTCAATGTGTAGTGTTCGCGTAAATTTAAGGTTGCCCTAGTCGATGGCACGAACTAAATGGTAGGCGGGGCAAAAATGCATGCTATCTCAGCCGACATCTCGTGCGAAAGGGATAGACGCTGTGATGAGCAGTAAGAAGCTAGTGCGCACACACATACGCACTCGAGTGACCGCTATCGCGTACCTAGGTATCATTCATTATAACATAAACTCAAACGGCAATTTTGAGCTTCGTGCCACAATGGATTAGCAATGAGTAGCTGCGCTGGGTGCCGCGGGTTCGAATCCCCCACGGAACAACTATTTTGTATGGACTACAAATAGTTGTTCCGGGTCTGGATGTTTGTTCTTGTGCAATTTATATTTGTAAACTGCCTCCACGATACTGGAGAAAATCCTACTGTGGGGATAACGTATTTTAAAAAAGAGAAAGAAGAGAGAAAGCAAATTGGTGTTATTGTAACTTAGGATCTGCTGTGTGAAACGTAATTATTATGAACACAATTTATATACTTAGTTGTTATGATGAAAGTTCTTATGTGAACTTAAGTAGATGTTGTTATTATATAATAATTCCATTGATTTGTTTTTACCTACTTTTTAACCGACTTCGAAAAAAGGAGGTGGTTCTCAATTCGTTGGTTTTTGTTTATGTATGTTCTGTCCCCCGATTTCTCGAATATGCCTGAACCGATTTGGAAAATTATTTTTTTTTTGTTTGAATGGATATATTTTCCAGATAATCCCACGGTAATCGATGATGATCAGATCAGGATCTGATGATGGGATCTTGGAGAAATCGGGGGCACTCTTCAATAAATGACAGCAAATCAACCGCGATTGCTGCTATCGCCTATCTATGCATTCTTTACGCAATCACACAATATAATATCACGCCTGTACCCACTAAAGGGACATAACTCTAAACTAAAAACGGTAACATAATAAACTTTTTTTGAAAAAAGTATAACAATTTCTAATACTAACACTAAATAGTGTATCATTATTATGTTTTCTGTATGTTTTTGTATTTTACTGTATGTTATGCAAATATTACTGTAGGTACTATGTATTCTAAATAGGTATTTACTTTCCATAGCTAGTTAGCTATAATAGCCCGCAGGCAACTCCCCGACCCCGAAGTACCTATATGTCAGCCAGTGTCAGGATAACTGCTTTTTCGACAGCGCGATTTTGATGTGAGTGTGGCTTTTATATAGGTTAATTAAATTAAAAAAAAAATTAGTTTGTAAATTGTTTATTGATTGTTTGTGTTCAATAGCGGTTTGAAATATTCTCTTAGTACTTAGAAAGTTATCAACAATAGGCACTGTGTCACTGCAGGGACAAGCACAAACGTCTATCAAAATAGTAACGTATATAAACGGAATACTAACAGCATAGACTTCCTTACAGAAGTCCAAAGAACACGTCTAGGCAAGGTAAGTAATTAAAAGAAAACTAAAATTTAGAGATCGATTGTAAATCAAATTCACAGTACGGACACAATTAGCGAAATATGAGTAAAAAATTTATTTATTTTATGATAGATAACGCTAGTTGAAAACTAAACACTGTATGGGAATAGCATCACTGAAGTCAGGTGGTCAGTCCAAACAAATAAAAGGCACGAACAAAAAGAGGAAGCAATTTTTCTAAATAAAGATGTAGATATGTAAGTATTACAACCATAAATAGATAGCAGCGGCTAACCTAGTGAGCATGTGTGGGTACGCGCTGCGCCCCCCCCCCTCCGTCCGTCCCACTGATCGGGGAAACAATTTGTAGCGAAAGGCAAGATGTTTTATAACAAAAACGGGCGCGCGAAATTTTATAAACAGACCTTTGGTAGTCTGGATGTCACGAAAAACCTATTGAATGTATCTGTTTAAAATAAAATTATTTGCATTTTTGAACAACTAATCTATCCCTGTATGGTAACTGTTTTGCTATTTTCGTTCTTCTTATGGTATTTATTTCCGCCCAAAGATGTGTTAAAAATAGTGTTGAAATTCGGAATTTTCGACGCTTATAACTTTTAAATATACTCTTTTTTTACTTTTTTTGTTTCCATACAGGGCTAGATAATGACGAAACAAATTGAAATCATTTTTTATTTTGAACGTACACCATCAAACAGTGGAGTTATCGCCGGACTACGTTTGTATGGAAGAATAAGCGACTAGTGTACCCTTAAGAAATCATTATAAAAAAATTAAGTTATCATTAATATGGTAATGATTATTTCATTATATTCGCTTGGCGGCGAAGGAAAACATCGTAAGGAACCTGCAATCTAAAAAATAAAAAAAATTCCAAGACATGTGAAATCCGCCAACATGCATTGGGACAGCGTAGCCGGGTGTAACGCGTTTATAGACTGTAACTTTAACTTTAATACAAAAACTGAAAAACCTAACCCAGTCACTGGACTGCTTGTTAAATTATTTTATAAAATTTACCATCGCTTGTCTCTTTTTATACATCCCGCTAAGTTTCAGGCAAGAGTTAATTAAATCTGAATTTTCCTGTTTCGCGAGACGATATTTTAAGCGTGCCACCCGCGGCACAGTATAAATAATAGTACCCCGCGGTAAGTGTAAATATTCCGCGCAACTTTAAGATTTCCTTGTCTTATTGTATAGCATTATACACTGTTCCATTATAACACCATTACGCTTGACAAGCGGGTCGGTAACCGCAGTTTTTATTGTTATTGTTTTATTATTGTAATTTTACTGTTATCAAGAAGAACCTGCCCATCTCCTGTGTCTCCTTTGTCGGGAAGATATGGGGTAATCGATATTCTTACATCGTCTATCATCGGATATCCGCAGTTGACCAGAGTGACCGACATAGGCAAACGGAATAGTAAGCTGAAGTGGCAATGAGCCGGCCGTATAGTTCGAAGAACCGACTACGATGGGGAAAAAAGGTTTTCGAGTGACAGCCTTGTACGTCGGCGAAGTGTAGGGCGACCCCCCACTAGACGGTGTGACGACCTGGTATGACATGCAGGAAGTCGAGTTAATGGCACAGAAAGAGAAGAGAAGAACACATCACAAAAATTGCTATCTACTAAGAAACATTATCTATCAATTTAGAAATATACTAGAAATAATAATATATAATATAATAGAAATACGTTACCTTTATTTATGTATAAGTACCCGGATGACCGAGCTTTGCTCGTTTTTTTTTTTTTGAAATTACATTTATAAATTACATACTTATGAAACATAATATCTTTTGATCTTATTGACAGAATAGAAAAAACTGAACTGGTTATTTGAATAAAAAAATCATGAGTAGTTTTATTAAAATTTTCGTATTTTTAAAAAATACTAAAAAAAAGGGCTTGATTTTTCTCACAAAAGAAGGGAACTTGAAAAAAAAAGGAAAAAAAGCCGGACCAGAGACAGGACGCGAACCACGGAACTCCGATATGACGCCCGACAGACATCCCACCAGAGCTACTACGATCGTTAGTGATCTGTTAAAATTTACCTTCTTATATTGTAGCAGTTTTTTTATTGCCTGAAAACAAAAGGACATTTTCTAAAAATAAATTCTAGCTAGATCGATTTATTGCCCCCGAAACTCCCTGGACACTAAATTTTATGAAAATCGTTGGAGCCGTTTCCGAGATTCCGATTATATATATATATATATATATATATATATATATATATATATATATATATATATATATATATATATATATACACAAGAAAGAAAAGAAATTATATATATATGTTAATGTTTATGAATACATATATATGTTAATTGTTAACTATAACTTATAGACAATTTCTATTCAGCAGTGTTTTGCTAATCATAAGTACGCGCGCTGCTACCTACTTGCTTTACATATAAAACTATTTTTCTCTCCCAAAGGGTTTGCTAAAAGATAACTCTTATTAGGGTTAATCTCGCCTTTCTACATATTTAAATATTTAAAACTGTTATCAACTTATAGTGTATACAATAGAGAATAAAGAAAGAAAGATAGCATTTGTTGGGAAATTTCCATTGATAAAATTTTCCTTTGCAGCCAGTGGCGAGCTCAGAGGAAGATGTCCGGCAGAGGAGGTCGCGTGTCCGGCGCGAGCGACTCCGTGCACCGCGGACGATGAATGTGGGGAACAAATTTGCTGCAACACTGCGTGTGGCCGAGCCTGTATCGATCCTTTGTTCACCGGTGAGTAATTACTAAATAACTTACAAAAATTTCTCAGAATAACCTTTTTTTTGCGCCCGAAGTCTTATTTGAGTCTGAAGGTGAAGACCGGGCAACCCTCCGGTAACGGGGGAGGGAGGTGATGAATGCTCATAGCATACCACGCAGCCGGCTGCGTGGTTATGTGGAGACTTTTACCCACTAAACACCACCTTTTGGGATTAGCTTAGCGATCTGAAGAGAGATCTTTAAGTCGTAAACGGACGCGACCCTCCTTGGGAGAAAGGAGGGTGCAAGAAGTAGATCAAATTTGTGCGTATTTATATTCAAATATTATTTATTTACGATTTACATAAACATTGAAATATATACAACATTCAAAAACACTAATAAAAAAAATTTAAACTAAAAATTATAATTATCATGCAGTCCTTACTCCGTGCAGTCGTTACCGTGATATCGTGCCAAGAACGCTGGCTGCGTTTCCTCGCTGAATAGCTATACTTATCCTTTGAGCGAGAAAAGAACCAGCCCTCTTATCACCAGCAGCGAAGACCAGTCGCGGATACAGTTCTTTTAGGAACTTCACCGCACGTACACTCCACGGTCCGATAGTATCTACAGCAAATGGCACAAATATGTAATCATCTCTCAGAGACTCATATATGTGCTTCTTATTTAGTTCAGCTGCCTCTGATATTTAAATATCGACGGAGAGCGGCATCAAAGGTAACCTGTTACTGATAGCGTATACAGATGAATCTGCCAAGCGTGACGACACTACCCTTTAACGAGCTAGTCCCAAATCCAGGTGAGGACTGTTATCTGTCTGATCAAGGTCTTCACCTTCAGACTCAAATAAGACGAATATTTTGACAAAAAAACTATGACGCCATTAAACTATATTCTCGTACAATTTCTATTGTAATCTTCGTGTTGACGACTTATTTATTTCAGGTTTCAGGGCAAGAAAGTGTCCGCCGCGCTGCCCCAATGCGTGTTGGCGAACTTCACATGTCTTCGTAATATTTTTTTTCTTATTCCTCAGACATGCAGGTTTCCTCACGATGTTTTCCTTCACCACCGAGCACGTGGTAAATCAGCACTTAAAATTGCAACTACACAATTTCATTGGTGCCGTGAGCGTTAACCATCTAAGCTACCACGGCTTGTACCACGGCAAATATAATATACATTTAATTATTGGTTGATTTTCACTTTCTTTCCAACACGACGCTGGCAAGAAATTTGAGAATGTGCAAGCAACTTAACAGGACAGACGGTATCTAATGACCCAACTTCGTTAAAACTTGACTTTTTAGAAGTAGGCACAATATTACCTACAAAAAATGAAAAAAAAAAAATGTTTTTTTAAACTTGAAACAAAAATTTAAACAAACGTATTAATTTTTTTTCTTTATTAAGCTTTTTAAACTATATATAATATCGTAGATCGTTGGACGACTTAATTGCCGAGATCAGAGCCGACCGTCTGTAGTAATACTTTACACCATCACCAGTTAGATATACTGCCATTGCCTGATTCATCACGGAGTGCAGGTGTAGTTGAAATTTGAAAAGTCGAAGACGTTCTATATTACTGTTTACTGCGATTACAATAATCTTTGGAACTTTAATTTAAACTTGTAAAACAACTTATTCTGTTTCAATTTAGTATTTTTTTAAATTCTTTTAAACCTCAATATTACTCGTAAATATTTCAGTTTGCAATATTTCTGTCGCTATTTTTTATTATTATTTATTACATATTTTAAACAAATTCAAAAAACGAGAAGGTTCTGTATTTTTAATATATGTTCTCCGATATTTAGAAACAGCTGAACCGACTTTCTAAGATTATTCTTATTTTAATAGATTATAACTAAAGTCCCATAAACCGTTGAAGAATAAATCCCACAACAGTGATTGTGTTTGTATTGAATATAAAATATTTCTCTGTTGGTTCATCATCTGAGCAATAAAATCACAGCAACTGCACAGTTATAGAGTATACAGAGATCAATATAATATATACTTATAGCATCGGTAATGTATCCTGATGTATGATTGTTAATTGCATATAGAAAATCAGTTAATGGAATCGAAATAACAATTTGAACAATGTGTAATGTCAAAATTTAAAATAACTTTTATTTTAAATTTTAACCGGCATAAGAAAATTATTAGGACAGCTTCTAATAGAACAATAATTTTAAAACACCTATTTACTACTTCCGTTGCTATAATTAGGTTGTGAAAACATCAAAATGTCATCGGAGCGCATATCGCGGGCGCTGGCAGCGGAGAATAGTCGCGGTGGCAGGGGTGCGTCCCGCAGTGTGCGGACGCCGCGCTGCAGGATGTCGGACGGCGAGTTCGAGGAGGTGCAGTGCGACAACGAGATCGTCAGCGCCTGCTGGTGCGTGGACGCGACAGGCTTTGAGGTGAGAGATACGTATAGAAAGATCGGTTTGTTTTAGTACATTTAGGGCCGAGGGCCAATGCAGATGCAAAGGTAAAACCTTTTGCTAGCATCATAAACTGAGCGGAGTAAAAGTCTAAAGTCATAACTATCTTTATTTCAACAAAAGATTCAATCAAATGGTGTGACATTGCGCAGATGTAAATTAGCGAATTGATTAGATAGTAAAAGAAAAAAAGAAAATTGAGATTTTTATTGTTTACAAACCTTGTCTGCGTTGAGCTACAAAATATCACTGAAAAAGATATGTAAATTGGCCTACGGGTTACGGAGGAGATGGAGTTCAAAGAATCGTTTTCTTGCGCCATGGGAGCTCAGTTCGCTTCGCTTGCTCCGCCCAAAAATTTATTCATAGGATAAAATACAACATAAACGAATCGTCAGCTCTGTGACACAGTGGCTTAGCAATGACCAACATTGCTGCCGCAGCCGTGGGCTTGAATCCCGCACGGAGGTTTTTGTAATTGTATGGGCCTACGAGTACAAATAATCGTTGCGGGCAGGATCTGATTGCGATTAGCGTATGAGGTTACGCTACCAGTATAAAATATTGATATCGCTATTTTTAAAAGTAGACCAAGAGCGGCTTAAATTCACAGGTATAAAATAACGGTAACGTTATTTTTAGGGGTATCGTTTTACCTTTGTATAACACTTACATAACCGAAATTATATTGGATTACACAAAAAGATACTTTTGGGTAACCAAAAGAATCTTTTTATGTAACCAAAAGTTATTGTTGTTTTGACAATGACTATTAAGAAATTTTAAGAAACTTATTGAAAACTAAGGTAATTTTGAACCACAAGAAGAAGGAAAGCTATTAGTTGATAATTAGGTGGCGAAAAAAAAACGCAACCGTTATTTTTCGGTACCGATAAAATTGTGTATCGTTATTTAAGATAACGCAATAGAAATTTATAACGTCATACCTTTAAACGTTATAACCTTACTTAAAACTATTTTTCGGTCATACAAGCCCTGGTTGCGGGTCTATGTTTCTGCGAAATTTATGTATGTATATTGCCCCCATGATACAGGAGAAAATCTTAGTGTGGGGGTAACTTTTTTATAATAAAAATAGAATAAAGACCAATTTAAAAATTGCAATAAAATTGTTCATTTCTTTTACTTCTATATTCAGTCAGGTTATAATTTATTTGATGGATTACTTTTATCTGACGATTGAAAAATCAGCCCTTTTAAGATTAATAATTTGATCGTCTGCTATCAACCGAGTTTCATAAACTTGTTGAACTGTTAATAATTTAAAAAAGCAAGTATTTTTTTCGGTGTTTTTTCTTCAGTCAATGGAATAGAAAACCACAAGTGTTAATTTTATTATAGCATTTATGTCATATGGGTAATGAAACCGAATTATGCTGTCTATTTTAAAATGTATTAATTTGTGAATATCTTTTTAAAGTGAGATTGTTTTATTGACAGCAAACTATCAAAATTAACTATACGGGAGGGTAATATGGTTATCCCGTTAATATGGTTACTGTCTTTTAACTCAAAAACTACAGCCTTATTTGCATAGAAGGTTATATGATATGATGGCTCTTCATCAGTCAATCGACGACATTTTAACAGTTGATAATAGTAAATATTTTCGTCGATTTTAGTATGGCGTAATGTGTTTAGTTTGTATCAAGTTGATTTTCGAAGTGTTCCTAATTATTGCCAAAGCTTATTTGCTATTTTTTATTAGTATATTAGTTATAGTATAAGACTTTGTGTTTTTGTATCTATCCTCCTCCAAGTTTTGGTTTTATAGAGCGGCAAAGCATAAGGGAACGTGAGGGTTATTACCCTCAACTATCTTACTTGGATGCCGATTATCATTTATATCTAATTATTGAATATATATAGGATATTTTAGAGATTAGATATTGATTTGATCTCTAAAATATCCTATTCTACCCTTGGAGACAGGAATCCTGATATCCTACCTTTGGAGAGGGGGTTGTTCTGTCACTGATTTAATACATCAAGGAATGGAACTGTTTCTATAATATTTTCAGCCGCTTCATTTCACCATTGTGTATTGCGACAAAATTTAGCTATACCATTCATACCATCTGGATGGGTACTATCACTGTGCGATTTAGAAGAAGTTTTCTTCCTCGCACAACTTCCTTGTGGAATCGACTACCACCAGAGATTTTTCCGGACCGATACGACTTAGGGACCTTTAATAGAGCCTACTCTTTTTTAAACGGCCGTCAACGCACCTGAAATTCCCCTGGTGTTGAATTTATTTATGGGTGGCGGTAGTCACTTACCATCCTCGTGCTCGATTGCATTTTCTATAAAAAAATCTAATGTTTTGTGTTTTTCGTTTGTAACTTAGTAATATTAATTGAAGTAAGTGCGTCGTGTCATCGCATGGATAGAAAATGTATAGCAGTAAAAACGGGAATTATGGACAGGAAAGTTGGAAGAGTTTTGACAAGGGTTTTGCATGATTCATTCGGAGAATTAACGAACCAAAATCGGCTGCTTGGACATGAGAATAGGGATTTCATTAAATATAAAGAAACATAATAATGATGATAGATCCCGGGCACGCGTGCGCCGGCCGCATCGCTGGTGAACTGCACGCGCACGGCGGCGTGCGCGGCGCACACGTGCCGCATGCTGTGCCCGCTCGGCTTCGAGCTGGACGCGCGCGGCTGCCCGCTGTGCAAGTGCCGCGATCCGTGCGCCGGCGTCACCTGCCCCGGACACCTGGACTGCCAGCTCGAGGAGACGCCCTGTCTACGCCCGCCCTGCCCACCCGTACCCACCTGTGAGTCTTCACGGTCTCTATAAACGTTATGAATTTTAATTTGACTGCATGTAGTGGGGGTTTAGGAATACCCACTATTCCATATCGTCCCCAGGGTATCGTAAGAGGCGACAAAGGGAAAATGAAACAAGAGAAGGACAGTAGCGTCTTCCTGCTTGCTAAACGTAGCAACAATGACCAAATCCCCCATGAGGCAATATGAGGGAGGCCTATGTTCAGTAATGACTTATGGCTATAATGAATGAATGGATCCATAACGTGTAAAATCCAGACGAAAACCAGCTTCAACTATGGGCTACGTGGCGAGAGTTGATAAAAAAGCGGGCTTTCTAAGTCCATTAAAATTGTGGCCCGCTTATTATTTCTGCTGATAGATGGCCGCCGCGCCGGGCCTGGCACTTGAGAACATCTGCGAATCTCGTTCCACAAACTTCTGTGTTTGCGGTGATAAGCGACGCCCTTCACACAGATTACTTAAGCCACAGACGCTATTGCAACACGTTTTCTTTCTATATTAATTTGTCAACTCTAGCCGAATAGAGCCTTATAATAGTTTATATTTTTTTATAAATTAAGAGGCGTTCCATCTTAGTCCTCAGGGGTGACAACGCATTTGCATTTTGATTCATAATCGAGGATAAATGTAGATGTCTATGGGCCACAGCTTCCACTTACCATCGGGTGTACTGTGTGCTCGTCTATCACCCTTATTTTATAAAAAAAAAACTTAGTTATTAGGAGTAACAAAATATCTGTAGATTTTTTTATCTGAGGTTGGTTGTGAGTGTACATAGTCTGCAGAAGCCACTATCAGGCAGACTGCAGATTCGTTTACCTTCTTATAATTCAATAAATTTGAGTTAAATAAACATGCGTTGATACTAGGCTAACATCAGCACTTAATATTTAAATTAATTATTATTATTTCATTGGTGTCGGCGAGTATCAAACCTGGGTTGCCTGCATAATGTAAATTTACAGCGACCACATAGCCCTTGGGCTAGCAACGATATATGTTAATAAAAATATTAATTAATTTGCAACCTTCCACTAACTAAACACAATTGTGTGGATTGAAGAGCTCGTCTTTTGTAAGATGGGAGAGGTGTCGTATTATCGTCGATGGTGTGTCTTACCTGGAATAGTGGTGTTGGAAGTAGAGGTGCCGGGAGTAGTGGTGTTGGGAGTAGTGGTGGCTGGGACTGGTGGTGACGGAATTAGTGCACGCAATTGAGGGAGAGCGGGAAGTGCTCCTCAATCCATCATTATATTTAGTAAGCGGGAGGTTGCAAATTAATTAATATTTTTATTATATTGGATTTTCGCAAAGTAACGCCTGATTCTATAAATAATTTTATGCTTTATGTATACATACGTAATATATATATTATACATATATACATAGGAACTGTAACTTATAAAAACGTGTTATAAAGAGCAAGAGGAGCATATTCATCAAAATAGAATAAGGTTTAATATTGCTGTTTTAAACGATCTCCAGGTAAACGAGGCAGAAGTCTACAAAACATATGCCCAGTTGGGGAACCACTTCTAATCTCGGAGACGAGCCGGCCATTCCTCTGCGGCACTGACCCTGGCAAGCCAAACTGTCCGCCGCTTTACAAATGTCTTGTGGAGCAAGGTATTAAAAGTTTTATATTAATTTATTAACCTTTGTACTCCATTAATAATGTCCTTCAGACCGAATTTCGGCCACGGCAGCCTGCCTCAACGGAGACTAGCCATCGGCGCCGGACAGGATTATAGTGCCCAAGTGTATGCGCAAGCACAGGTGCACTCTCTATTCCCTCACTCTCATAATCCGATGGGACGGTAAACCGACACGACCGGAGAGAGAACAGGCGCAGGACCAACAGCTTTACGTGCTTTCCGAGGCACGGGGACACCGCCAACTTCCAGACTCCGGGCAGCTACTGAGAATTTCTTGACGGAAAAACTCAATAATTAATTTTTTTGGTCCGACCGGGGATTCGAACCCAGGACCTCGTGATCAGCAGTCGCACTACTACAACCACTAGACCAACAAGCAGTCATATTACTCCATTACTACATTAAATACAGTATCTAACGTTTCGTCTAGATACTTTTGCTTATAATCATTTTGTTTTCGATCATTTTGGTCGTATTTATTTTATCCTGACGTCATATTATTGTCTATGTTTGCGCCATTATGATGATATTATGAGATATATCGATTAACAGTCACCCAAAGAGCACATCAAGATTTCAAGGGAGTGGGAAAGGGGTAACTTGGTGCCTCCAACTCAAATCGACCCGTTACCTAAAAGGCACTCAGTTAACAGGCTTGTCATTTTGATCAACAAACTGTCAAAAAAATGACAAGAAAATCTAATCAGTCTATCACCGACAAAATGATGGGAGCTTTTGTGTTCACATATATGTAAACATTTATACACATGTATGCGTAATCTTTTCGTCAGATATACCTCATTACTTAAAAACGAGACTACCAGTGCGTATTAGTGATGACTTATGGATCTGAGACGCGAGGCCCTTCACTGCTGGCCGTATAAGGAAACTTAAGGACGCTCAGCGATCTTTAGAGAGGTTATGCTCGGGGCTATTCTCTGTGTCATAAACTTAGAAATGAGGATATCCGCAGTAGAACCAGAGTGACCGACATAGTCCAACGGATTAGTAAGCTGAAGTGGCAATGGACCGGCCATATAGCTCGAAGAACCAACAACCGATGGGGAAAAAATGTTTTCGAATGGCAGCCTCGTACCGGTAAGCGAATTGTAAGGCAATCCCCCACTAGATGGAGTGACGATCTGGTAAGACATGCAGGAAGTAGATGGATGCAGGTGACTCAGGACCGTGCTTTGTGGCATTCCTTGGTGGAGGCCTATGTTCAGTAGTGGACTTGTGAAAGGCTGTAATGATGATGACGATGATGCGTAATTTTGCGTATGAAGTGAAGACGCTTTGAATGTAAGCTATTGAAACAAAAAAGACGTATCGAAGGACCTATTTGAACTTTCTGATCTTTACCACTTTTTTATTAACTCGCGTTCGTGTATTCGAAAGTAACAATTTTAAACTACCTTCCCGGCTTAACTTGAATGTTTCAACATAGCTCAGAATCGGGTACACATGTATGAACAAAAAAAAAACAAAAAGAGACTTTTTACTCCGTTTTAAGAACGTGGTATTTTATAACATGTAACAAAAACCCTGTGGTTCCCGTTAAGTGCGTTATAAGCTTATAAGAATCGGTATACAAACGTATAGAAATTTTTTTTTTCAGAAAACTCTACCATTAAAAACTTTAATATAATGAAAAAAAAAAATTTGCAAATTGTATTATTAATTGGTTTATTACCTTTAATTGACATGAGAATCGATAAATAGGAGTCTTTGACAATCCTCTTACTACCCGGACAATGCAGAGGTAATAAAACTCGTTTATTAAATTTATTTAAATAAAATATTTTTTAATGGTTGAATTTTCTGAAAAAGAAGTTTTTTCTATACGTTTAAATAGTAAATACTGATTCTGATTCTGACAATTTACGGAAACCACGGGGTTTTGTTACATGTTTTACAAATAATACACATAAACTTGTTTTTAACTAAAATAACTTTTCATACAAGGTTAACTTTTATTGCTTATATATTTACGTCACCGCCGGTATACCGATCAGTCATAACTAATCGGCTATTGTCTAAGCGGTTACCTAATGCATGTTGCCAAAACAATGATAGACAAATGTCCGTCGACGCCACTGACCACTTAAGTGAAGTTGTTGCTACATCGATTTAACATTGCGATGTAAAACTACAATGAATTGACGTCCGTTTGCTTGTCCATTGTTTTAAAATATTAAGTCCATCGAGTCTAACTCTTTCTTCGTCGACCTAGGTACGGCGCTGGTCTCATAGTTCGGATACTTCTTATATGATATCGCTGAAATTAACAGTCATTTGTAAGAATTTCTTTTATGGTGGCTTCCTCCTCAAGAGGAGAGCCCGAGTATAAGAATCGCTGTATACGCTTTATATATTTTAGTCCTCAGTGGTGCAACTTATCTTCTATAACAGGGGTCACCAAATGGCGGACCGCGGTCCATATTCGGACCGCCGACCTATTTTGCGCGGACCCAGAAGAAATTATGAGTATCAATGTAAAAATGTGTGATAATTTAATTTTCTTCTGTTTTAAAATACAAACATTCAGAAGTTTTTTAACAAAAAGTTTGGATAAAATTAGTGAGTGGTATTTTTTTATTGGAGAGGGGGCAAACGAGCATACGGCTCACCTGATGGTAAGTGATTACCGCCGCCCATGAGCAACTGCAACACCCGGGGGGGATCGAGTCTCGTCCGGACCGCGCCAACGAGCGGTCATGTCCGCCGGTCGTCGACTCCCGCCCGGGTTTGAGAAGTACAGCGCGTCGCTTCGCAGTGGGTGCGCGCGCTGTGGGGCCAACTCGGCTTGCGTCGAGCCTTAAGGACGCCCCTACCCCTTCCGGGATGAAGATTACCCAACTCTGCGCATCACCTACACGCTGGGAAGCGAACTCCGAAGGCCCGGCGCGCCCAAGTGCGCGCGCCTGTTGGTGACTTCGGCTCCGCGTCGAGATGTTCTCCGCGGGACCTTGAGGTTGCTGACCCTTCGGCAGATTCCCTTCCCAGAGGCGCGTGACACGCCAACTTTTTGCCTTGGAGCACCAGGCCGTCAACTAGAGCCAGGAAGGAGCACTGGAGGCCGGAGCAGCTGGAACGCCCTCCTGTCGGCAAGATTGGCCCTGCGTCGACTCCTACCCTCGGGACTCCGCGGGGCTTCGAGACGGCCGACCCTCCGGTAGCACCGTCCTGGTGGCGCGCAATACGCCAACCAAGATAGCCAAAGATGCCGTACGGCTCCCAAGACCGGCTCATTGTCATGAGCCGTGAGGATCACCCGGGTAATGGGGGTTTCCCCGAGACCCGAATCCTGCATGGGATGAACAATAGTAGTCCCATAGCAGACGACAATCAACGCAACCCGGGGAATTCAAATACGTAGCCGGACTTTTAAAAAAGAGTAGCGAGTAGGCTCTTTTCTTAAAGGTCCGTAATTCGTATGGTTCCAAAAAAATCCCTGGTGGTAGTCGATACCAAAAGAAAGTTTTGCGGGGTAGAAAACTTCTTTTAGATCGCACAATGTTGGACCGCCATCTCATACGTCATCCAGATGGTATTGATAGTATCGCGAGTTTTGTCGCAATGTGCGATGGTGAAATTGTGCGGCTGGAATTAGTCCGAACCATTGCTCAAATTCTCCCCGTGGTAAATGCGATAAAAATGCAAAGAGATGCAACATCTCTTCGCAGTGCCAGTGAGTCAGGCCAATCGGAAAGCACTCGATTGCTGACGATTCCAATAGCTCTGCGCTGTATGCGAACAAATGGAAGGAGCTGGCACTGGGTAGCCCAAGCCCAGAGATGGCAACAGTATTCCATGTGCGGCCGACGTTGCGCCGGCGTGAAATACTGTCCCGCTCTGCTGAGCACGCCAAGCTTTTTAGAGGCCAATTTAGCCTTCTCTTCCAAGTGACCAGGAAACTGAAATAAATACCCAGAACTAAGAAATTGGCGTTGAAACTTTGTACAATATTTGGGTGAAACTTCACAAAAAAATTTGAATACCGTCTTACCGATGACCATCTCCACGATTTATTTGCAATAGCTTGCACCAACTTAATTCCAGACTTTAGACAGACTACAGATTTCAAAGTGCCATTTTTTTTTTTTTTTTTTTAGCTTTTTAAAAAAAACGACGGGTTGCACCGGGTGTGATATAGTTTTGTTTTTTGATATTTTGGGATGGTTAAGAATTAATTTTGCACGAATTGCTTTAATTATCAGTATAAAAGTACTATAATTTATGTGGTAGAATACAATGTTTATTTTAGATAGCGCAATATCGTACGCAAACATGACAATTTATATTACATTAAAAAGTTTATCTCTCAGAAAAATCAACTTCCATACATAATTTGAGTTTCTCATTATCATTATTACCAGAACCATCATCGCCAATCTCTAAAACTGATACGATCGTTTTGTGATAGCTGAAGTAAGAAACGAACAGTTTTGATTCGAACCTATTTAAAAGTAACATTCGCACAAGCGCCCTGCGCCGCCTAAACGAAACAGCAGGCGCAGGTATACACTTTCGCCGCGCCGTAGAAAGAGAGGGGGATACTTCCTCTCCTACACCGCGCCGGCTGTCTACTCTCCATCCGTCTAGAGTGTCACGTGTCCTCAGGCGAGTTTAACATTTTTTACCCATTACAAAAAAAGTGTACAGCGCCGCTAATGAAGTTTTCGTCTTACGAATTTTCGATCAGGTCACGTGTCCTGAGGCGAGTTTAACATTTTTTACCCATTACAAAAAAAGTGTACAGCGCCGGTAATGAAGTTTTCGTCTTACGAATTTTCGATTAGGATCACGTGTCCTGTCGCGAGCTTAAAATTTTTTACCCATTACAAAAAAAGTGTACAACGCCGCTAAAGAAGTTTTCACTTCAAAAAACTCTTTTCGTTTCGTTTTATTTCTTAATTGACATTTTAAATCTCGGTTGCTAGTCATCATCTAGCTAACGGACCGCGACAGTTTATACTAACGGACCCGCAACTAAACTAACTAATTGGTGATCCTTGTAACATATATTTCATTACATATAACTGCAGCTTTCTCTTTTTTATTAATTGTTTGTAATGGTTGTTGGCGTTCATGAGCTGCGGTAGGAACTTGTCATAAATTGGACTGTAAATTTGTTTGTCACTTAAACAAAAACTGACACGTTACAATAAAAAAATAAGAATTACATTCTTAGTAGCTCAAATTTTAAATCTGGTTTTAGTAGCTACCAAAAATTACATATCATATACATAAGCTTTTACAGCCAATATAGGCTACTGGCATTACAAAAATATTTTTTGTAAGATCACGTCAAATTAAATACGGTTTCGAAGTTTGAAGGAACAACTTCTTTAATTTACTTATCGAATCACCAAATAGCATACACTTATACATACAGAAACGCTAGCAATCAAGTCAAATTCAAATTAAGGGTCGCCGTATCTAATCATAAGGACGACAGTACAAAAAATAAATATGCAGCACACACAGACGGCATAAAACAAACAAAAAATAAATGCTGTGATGAATTGTTTTTATATTAAAGTTACGTGTGTTGCACTGCGTACTGCAATGTTTTACATTACTTACTAACAAAAAATTATAGTTTTGCATACTAACAATTAATAAAGTTTTACCATTTTAATGTAAGTAAAATTAAATATAAAGTTAAAAAAAGCAAAGTACCTTTTTTATAAGTTGACCGGAGACGGGTATACTACTTTTAAAATAAGTTTTAGTTAATTAGTTATTAACTGTGTTGACTGTCTCGTTGGCTTAGTGGTTGTAGTAGTGTGTCTGCTGATCATGAGGTCTGGGTTCGAATCTTATTGAGTTTTTCCGTCAAGAAATTCTCAGTAGCTGCCCGGAGTCCAGGAAGTTGGCGGTGTCTCACCCCCGTGCTTCGGAAAATACGTAAAGCCGTTGGTCCTGCGCCTGATCTCTCTCCGGTCGTGTCGGCTTATGAGAGTGAGGGAATAGAGAGTGCACCTGTGCTTGCGCATACACTTGGGCACTATAATCCTGTCCTGCGCCGATGGCTAGCCTCCGTTGAGGCAGGCCGCCGTGACCGAAATTCAGTCTGGAGGGCATTATTATTAATTGTGTTAAAAACTGTATTTAAATATTTAGATATAGAAGTAATTTCAAATTTTCTTTTTATATTTTGGTATGTTATACCAACAGACCAACAGTGCTATTGATAGGCAATGAATACTGTTACGTTATTAGATAACTGTTTTTAAAATAGTAAAAAAATTTTATTCGAAGGTAACGATTACGGCGTGTGCTGCCCAGCGTCTCTAGACCTTCAGAAAGCCGGCACCTGCCCGGTGCCCACTAATAGTACTGAAGAACTCGATTGCGGGACCCCGTGTGCGCACGACCTGGAATGTCCGTCGATGCAGAAGTGCTGCGAGGGCGGCGAGTGCGGGCGCCACTGCACACTGCCGCACAACGTGACGCTGTGCACGCAGCAGAAGCTGCTGGCCGAGCTGCTGGTGGTCAGCGAGAGAGAGGGCAGGGGCTACGTGCCGCAGTGCGCACCAGACGGCTCCTTCGTCACCAAGCAGTGCTCGAGAAATGGACTGGTTTGTTGGTAAGTGATTTCAATGTAACTTATCTGAGACTAGTCTTATCTAAGTATATAATGCGTTGAACGACGCTTATATAGGAATTATGTGGGTTGATGTTGCTACCTATCACCAGACTGACACATATCTACTTCTGCAGCAAAGCAGTAGTACCGAGTTAATATATAAACTATGAAGCAATTCATATAAGTTTTCATTGATGACAACGCATCTTTGCCCTACTCTTTATCACGCACTTTTTTGTTTCAAGTAGCCACTTATCATCAGGTGGACTGTTAAATCGTTTGTAAATCTATTTTAAAAATACTTTAGAAGACACGGAACAGTAAATAGTAAGATATAAGACAAATACCCACAATTTAAGTGGACTTGTCATGGGGTGACAGTATAAAAAATCTATTACTTCATTTCATCTCGTGGGTGTTGGAAGAGTTGACAATGGGAGAAGCCAGAAAATTTATTTTAGTATAACCATCTCGTCATCTCGATGTTGCATTATTCAACCTCATTGACGGCACATACATAAGAAGAAGTGAAATTTTCAGAAAATAAGACCGAGATAATAGAAACCCAGTATACTGTATCCTATCTCATTCCCTCGCAGGCTAAATCCTGTAGATGTCGCTTTTTCTTTTTATCGAGTTTCAAATCACAACGGTTCTAAAGATGTTTTCACTTTAAAAATAAGTCCATCCCTTTCTCGCGCAGGTGCGTAGACAGCGAGGGCAACAAAGTGCGCGGCTCGATGGGCCCGGCGGAGACAGTGCACTGTACGGTGATGCGCGCGGCCCGCACGCGGCCGCGCTCGCTGGCGGACTGCCCGCGCGCGCTGTGTGCCAGCGTGTGCGAGTACGGTTACCGCAGCGCGGACGACGGCTGCCCCAGCTGCGAGTGCGACGACCCGTGCGAGGGCTTCCCCTGCCCCGATGACCACGAGTGCGTGCGAGTGAAGGACTCCGACTGTACCGGCGACCTGTGCAACGGTTACCCAGTATGTGAGTACCGTTTGCATTACTCCAAATTCAAGGCGTGCGACTGTACCGGCACGCATTACCTAATCAAATATGAAGTAGTTCATGCTGTATTTTATCCGAAAAACAAACTTATTTTTTAAAAGTCTCAATAACGCCAAATCAATAGATTCTAGACGGGTGAAGCTAGTCGCTTGTAATTTGTATAAGTTAATTGGTAATTGCAGGTCGTCCGCGGGTATCGTACGAGAACCCGTGCAGCGTGGGCACGCCCGCGGCGGACGAGGCAGGCGGTGTGCTGCGCTGCGAACTGCGCGCCGACTGCCCCGCCGGGCACGCGTGCGTGCATGGGCGCCGCGCGGCGCCCGTCTGCTGTCCCGACAACTATACCGACACCGACACTGACACCGACACCGACACCGAACTCGTAGAGGTGAGCTTTATGTTGCCAAACAACAAGAAACACACTACATGCACGTGCACCGCGCAACACCCGTCTGCCGCCCCGACAGATACACCGACATCGACTTCGCAAGGGTGAGCTTTATGTTGTCAAACAAGAAGAAACTGCCGTGTGCTGCCCCGACCATTACACCGACACCAACACCGACCTCGTAGGTGTGAGCCCCATGTTGTCAAACAACAAGAAACGCGTTACGTTCACGTGAGCCGCACGCCCGCCGTCTGCTGTCTCAACTACACCGACACCAATGTCTTTTTACGTCCTTCTACAGGGTACAGGCATTCTCTCATTTTTAAGAGGATATTAGACAAATAGGGGCAAGATTTTATCTTACTCGCATAGCAGATGATAGATTCAAAATGGGCAGGTCTATGTACACTACCTCAAAGAAAGGGAAAATATCTGTAAATTCGGGAAAAATACAGATAATTCATTTAAATGTACCCTCTCGTGGTAAACAATTGATGTTTATCAATTATTTTTATCCACATTTAAAGTTACTCTGTGCCAATAGCCAGTGACAATAAATCATAAAGCGACCATTGATCATAGAAAGAAAACCGTCAGTTGTCACAACAGTGTCAAAAATACGTAAAATAATATAGATATAAGAAAAAATATTATGGGTATGATCCGAAATACAACGCAGTGTACTGTCCAATGCAAATGACGTCATCATTTGACAGTTTGACACTTTATTGTACTAGCGTGCCGCCGCCATATTGTGTCGGATATCCGGCCATAATAAAACAATTTTTAATTGTGTGTTTGCCGTATAAAGCATGCCAGAATTTGTTTCTATTTATTCAAATACAAAAAATTATATAATAATTGATGGTATATCCATTAGGAGGATATAATGATTTTTGGAGCACAAAATGACAAAATAATCGCCAACACTTTTCCAAATGGCGCAAAAGTATGACGTCATATACTATCCAATGTTTTGGAACGAATCACCAGTATAGCGTCGATTCATGACGTCATTTGCATTGGACAGTACACTGCGTTGTATTTCGGAACATACCCTATATCAAAGTGAAATAAATATGTCAAACGTCACTAATAAATAAAAATGACTGCTTACCGCCATGACGGGTTTTTATTGTGTTGCAATTTCTAGAGTAATTTGTAGTCTACTCAATCCTGTACTTTGCCAGCAAACTAAGCCGTTATATAATAATTGGACAGTTGAGAACCGCTTAAAATGTGTTTACGTATTTTGAGTCTCGTGTACAAGGACCTGGCCCAGGCTCCATACATTTTGGAACATCTCATTTTTCTACCATAGCTCTAATGATGTATGAGGTACCATGCAGGTACCAGAGTAGAGACGATTATGTAAAGGTCATGCAAGTGGGTAATCCCACTTGTTATATCTGATAAAGAAAAAGAGTGAAGGTAAGGCTTACAGCCAATACATGTCCGTCTACTGGCCATAGGCCTCTCTTTCTAAGAAGCATTTTATAACTCGTCAATTTATATAGCTTTAGTACTAGGCGATAAGGAATTGTAAACTACCTATTTATTATATTTCTAGATCAGTTACGAATCGTGCGGCTCGGACGTGGAAGCGGTCTGCGATCTGAACTCGACTAGGAGTTGTCCAGACGGCACGTGTGAGGACGAGTTCATGTGCTGCTCCACTGCGGCGTGCGGGCCAGTTTGTGTGGACCCCGCCAAGTTGCGTCTGCAGACCGACCGGGCTGATAATACTCCTACAAGTAAGTTTTACTTTTTTTTACTTTACTTATTTTGCCATTGAAACGATCACCGAAGTTATGACACGAGAGCACGTCATAAGTATGTAATGTTTTCTACATAGTAAATTGCGCAATGACATTTTGCTTCGGCGGTTTGTATGCGTAGAAATAAATAATGAGAAAAGAGTGACAAAGCAAATTCATGCTGCAGAAGTGAGTCGCAGAGGTAGGAACTCCCTAGGTCTGTCACTCACTCCTAAAATTTTGTCTAGACGGAACATTATTGACCGAATTTGTGAAATATTGATGGATCACGGTAAAAGTACCTTTAATCGACAAGCATGTAAGCATAGATATATGGATGTGAAAAAAACTATAAAGGTATGTCTAGATCAAGCCAAATTGAATCCCGTAGTCTAGCCTACACCTGTGGGTGACAGGCGTGAAAGTTTAATATGTTACGTTATGTTAATTAAATTTCATATAGAAAGTACTATTATCAATCTTTTTACCGTTTTCTTGAGGAGTGTAAAGATATTTAGGAAGATGAGGAATTCTCACTAGTAGGAAGATTCAATGTAAGGATGCCTTTATAGATTTTTTTATTAGATCGCCAAGTGATTACACCCTTTAACGAGTAATAAGACATACCGCGTTTTATCTTCCGAACCTAGTCGCCCTTTACGACATTTTCTGAATGACCCTGGTTGAGAGTTTCAAACACCGCAACCATACGGCATGGCACGCCTTAAATCATATATGTGCGTCGTCGTATATAGATGAATATTTACGGCAGTATATTTTACGTTTTCTTAGTAGTTGTTAGTACGAAGCCGCTGTTGCTCATGTCCCCCCTGTCTTCTCTTACTATACCCACGGTACGTAACAGGGTAGTGGATATTCTAGCACCGCCACTACTCGGTCACCGACAATAAATCACAGAGCGATAGAGCAATAGACTGAAGCGTACTTCAATGCAATTTCTGACAGTGTGCGAATACCTGCGCGACTTCGACGAAAAGATGGAGGGTACAGTGGACGGCATGAAGCTGGCGCTGCCGCCACCCACGTGCGGCGCGGACGGCGCGTACACGGCGCGCCAGTGCTCTGCTGGCCGCTGCTGGTGCGTCGACTCCTTCGGCACCGAGATACCCGACACCTCCACCAACAACGCCTCGCTGATCGACTGCGAGAAGTGAGTCGTGTTTTGCTTTTCAAATTCTCATTTTGATTGTATTTGGTAAAAGACCTAGTCTTTAACTTTGTACTCTGGTCCATAATTCTCTTGTTCTCTAAGAAACTATTTACTGGTACACCCATTGTTCTATCTAAGGTTATTTTTCGAAAAGAGTAACTTGAAGTGGGGCCATATTTTGGCCATCGATTTTCATAACGTTCCTTTACTAAATAAAAATATTTTTCGTTTTATAAAGGAATGTCTTAGGGAAGCAATTCACTTGCTGACAAATTTTTCCTAAAACTTATAAAAATGTTAATTGCAGGGTGCGTTCGGAGCTGTCGTGCCTGGAGCTGACATGCCGCATGGGCTGCGACTACGGGTTCGAGCTGGGCGCATCGCGGTGCCCCACGTGCCGCTGCCGCGATCCGTGCGCCGGCGTGCAGTGTCCCCGCGGCCGCGCATGCGCGCTCGTCGATGTCGCCTGCGACGCGGACTACTGCCCGCCCGTGCCAGCCTGTGAGTCATGCAATTATCAAACTATGTCACTGCGACTGCGGGTTCGAGCTGAGCGCGGCACGATTCCCTACGCGCGTGGTGCCCACGCAAAATATCAACTCGTAAAAGTCTACTGCTTAATATGGGCTCTTCCCGTGTAAACAAAATTTATCTTAACCGTTACACGAGCGAATTGACGATCGCAATACCAGACATGAGCACTTTTGACTTCTGGTGTCAGTCGCTGGTCTGAGTATTAAACATTTAGTTTTATAGGAATTGGAAGCTATAAGATTTTATGGTATTTACCATATCCGCATCTTACGACAGTCATGGGACGAAGTAGGATTAGGTTTTGAATTTTACGCTGACACCAATCGGCAGACAGATGGAAATAGATAGAATTGAATATAAAATAATACTTTATTATTTGTTTTAAAAATATTAATTATAGATGTTGTAACAAATATCACTGCCGCAGGTCTGCCGCGCAGAGAGGGCCAGTGCCCGTACCTGGTGCCCACGACGGGTTCGTGCGAGTGGGCATGTCGCTCGGACGCCGAGTGCGCGCCCGGCCTACGTTGCTGCCCTACAGGCTGCGGCACCGCCTGCACCCAGCCCGTGCACCACACCGCCTGCCAGCACGCCAGGTGAGACACGTGCCCGGTGTACCACACCACCTGCCAGTACGCCAAGTGACACACGCGCCCGGTGTACCACACCGCCTGCGAACACGCCAGGTGACACAAGTGCCCGGTGCACCACACCGCCTGCCAACACGCCAGGTGAGACACGCGCCCCGTGCATCACAGCGCCTGCCAGCACGCCAGGTGAGACACGCGCCCCGTGCACCACTCCGCCTGCCAGCACACCAGGTGAGACACGCGCCCCGTGCACCACACCGCCTGCCAGCACACCAGATGAGACACGCGCCCGGTGTACCACACCACCTGCCAGCACGCCAGGTGAGACACGCGCCCCGTGTACAACACCGCCTGCCAACACGCCAGGTGAGACACGCGCCCGGTGCACCACAGCGCCTGCCAGCACGCCAGGTGAGACACGCGCCCCGTGCACCACACCGCCGGCCAGCACGCCAGGTGAGAAACGCGCCCCGTGTGCTACACCGCCTTCCAGCACGCCAGGTGAGACACGTGCCCCGTGCACCACACCGCCTGCCAGCACGCCAGGTGAGACACGCGCCCGGTGTACCACACCGCCTGCCAGCACGCCAGGTGAGAAACGCGCCCGGTGTGCCACACCGCCTTCCAGCACGCCAGGTGAGACACGCGCTCCGTGCACTAAAGCGCCTGCCAGCACGCCAGGTGAGACACGCGCCCCGTGCACCACAGCGCCTGCCAGCACGCCAGGTGAGACACGCGCCCCGTGCACCACACTGCCTGCCAGCACGCCAGGTGAGACACGCGCCCCGTGCACCACTCCGCCTGCCAGCACACCAGGTGAGACACTTGCCCCGTGCACCACACCGCCTGCCAGCACGCCAGGTGAGAAACGCGCCCCGTGCACCACACCGTCTGCCAGCACGCCAGGTGGGACACGCGCCCCGTGCACCACAGCGCCTGCCAGCACGCCAGGTGAGACACGCCCCCCGTGCACCAAACCGCCTGCCAGCACGCCAGGTGAGACACGCGCCTCGTGTACCACACCGCCTGCCAGCACGCCATGTGAGACACGCGCCCCGTGCACCACAGCGCCTGCAGGCACACCAGGTGAGACACGCGCCCCGTGCACCACACCGCCTGTCAGCACGCCAGGAGAGACACGTGTCCCGTGTACCACAACAGCGCCTGCCAGCACGCCAGGTGAGACACGCGTTCCGTGCACCACAGCGCCTGCTAGCACGCCAGGTGAGACACGCGCCCCGTGCACCACAGCGCCTGCCAGCACGCCAGGTGAGACACGCGCCCCGTGCACCACACCGCCTGCCAGCACGCCAGATGAGAAACGCGCCCGGTGTGCTACACCGCCTTCCAGCACGCCAGGTGAGACACGCGCTCCGTGCACTAAAGCGCCTGCCAGCACGCCAGGTGAGACACGCGCCCCGTGCACCACAGCGCCTGCCAGCACGCCAGGTGAGATACGCGCCCCGTGCACCACAGCGCCTGCCAGCACACCAGGTGAGACACGCGCCCCGTGCACCACTCCGCCTGCCAGTACACCAGGTGAGACACTTGCCCCGTGCACCACAGCGCCTGCCAGCACGCCACGTGAGAAACGCGCCCCGTGCACCACACCGTCTGCCAGCACGCCAGGAGGGACACGCGCCCCGTGCACCACAGCGCCTGCCAGCACGCCAGGTGAGACACGCCCCCGTGCACCAAAGCGCCTGCCAGCACGCCAGGTGAGACACGCGCCTCGTGAACCACAGCGTCTGCCAGCACGCCAGGTGAGACACGCGCCCCGTGCACCACAGCGCCTGCAGGCACGCCAGGTGAGACACGCGCCCCGTGCACCACACTGCCTGTCAGCACGCCAGAAGAGACACGCGTCCCGTCCACAACAGCGCCTTCCAGCACGCCAGGTGAGACACGCGTTCCGTGCACCACACCGCCTGCCAGCACGCCAGGTGAGACACGTGCCCCGTGCACCACACCGCCTGCCAGCACGCCAGGTGAGACACGCGCCCCGTGCACCACACCGCCTGCCAGCACGCCAGGTGAGACACGCGCCCCGTGCACCACTCCGCCTGCCAGCACGCCAGGTGAAACACGCGCCCCGTGCACCACAGTGCCTGCGAGCACACCAGGTGAGACACGCGCCCCGTGCACCACAGCGCCTGCCAGCACGCCAGGTGAGACATGCGCCTCGTGCACCACAGCGCCTGCCAGCACGCCAGGTGAGACACGCGCCCCGTGCACCACACCGCCTGCCAGCACGCCAGGTGAGACACGTGCCCCGTGCACCACAGTGCCTGCCAGCACACCAGGTGAGACACGCGCCCCGTGCACCACAGCGCCTGCCAGCACGCCAGGTGAGACATGCGCCCCGTGCACCACAGCGCCTGCCAGCACGCCAGGTGAGACACGCGCCCCGTGCACAACAGCGCCTGCCAGCACGCCAGGTGAGACACGTGCCCCGTGCACCACAGCGCCTGCCAGCACACCAGGTGAGACACGCGCCCCGTGCACCACAGCGCCTGCCAGCACGCCAGGTGAGACATGCGCCCCGTGCACCACAGCGCCTGCCAGCACACCAGGTGAGACACGCGCCCCGTGCACCACACCGCCTGCCAGCACGCCAGGTGAGACACGCACCCCTTGCACCACAGCACCTGCCAGCACACCAGGTGAGACACGCGCCCCGTGCACCACAGCGCCTGCCAGCACACCAGGTGAGACACGCGCCTCGTGCACAACACCGCCTGCCAGCACGCCAGGTGAGACACGCGCCCCGTGCACCACACCGCCTTCCAGCACGCCAGGTGAGACACGCGCCCCGTGCACCACACACCATGCCAGCATGCCAGGTAAGATATGCCCCCGTGCACCACACACCATGCCGTCATGCCAGGTGGTGAGACACGCGGCCCGTGCACCACACCGCCTGCCAGGACCCCAGGTGAGACACGCAGCCACTGCTGCCTCGGCGTCCGTAAAACGTTTTCCTCGAAGTTTTTGTTTTATTTTCGGAAATAAATAAAAATCGCCAGGTGCGAGGTCGGGGCTTTAGGGCGGATGACCCAGTAATTCCACGTCTGACGTCGCCAAGTAGTCGATTGTTTGCTTGGCGGTATGCGACGAGGCATTATCGTAGTGAAAGAAGATCCTACTACGAGGTCGTGTCTCCCGAACATTTTACAAGACAAGTGGCAAACAACTGTTAGTGTACCACTCTGCAGTAACTGTTTTTCGATCCTCTAAAACAATTGTTGCGTAATGACCTCTCCTTCCGAAGAACGACGCCACCATCTTTTTCCCACGCTTCGATTTCTCTTCACTTTAGTTGGCAACACCTCGAAGGACACACCCAGACAGCAGACTGTCTCTTATTTTCAGGATCATAGCAATAAATCCAGCTTTCGTCACCCGTATGTATGTCGAACACAGCACTTGAGTCACCTCAGTTAAATCTTTGAACCATTTCACGACACCAATCAACACGACAGAGTTTTTGCTGCTCTGTCAAATTATGAGGTATTCACCGGGCACAACTGCTTCCTGACCGCTAAATGATCATAATTTGACGGAACAATTTGAGGATTTTGTACACTTGACTCATACCAATGTCTAAGCTTGGCCGAATCTGCTGATAAGTCGCTCTTATGTCAGTCTCTATCGCCGTCGCCGTAGAAAGCCGTCCCTCACGCAGATCATCGGTGAGAACTGTGCGACAACGTTTAAACTCATTACACCAGTCGTAAACAGTGGCACGATATGGGGCTTCATCGTGAAAGGCCAATCGGAGTCTATCAAAACTGTCTTGTTGACTTAAATGACATCGAAAGTTATAAATAATCATAGTACGAAAATTTTCTCGCGTTAAATTCATGTTGACGTGACACAAACAATTTGCAATTCGTGCAAATAAAATACACACACAATAATATTGGCAGAGTTCCATTTTCTAAATTTGAACTTATATTTTTATTACATCGTTTACAATTGGCCAAATCTAAAACTTTCCAGTGTCGCCCTCGTATATGGAATTATAATTTACATTTTTATCTTAGGGCCTTAGCACTACATACCGCTGCCGAAAGGGGTAGTCCACCATCGTGGAGTTGGGTACCGGAGTGCAAAGACGACGGTTCATACGAGAAAATCCAATGTCGTGGATCGGAGAAAGTTTGCTGGTGTGTGGACGAAGCTGGCAATGAAGTAAGTAAAAGTTTCAGCACCTTATGTATAAACGATAAGGCACTCATAATCTAGCCTTGCAAATTACAATTTTGTGTGATATGTAATTATTGTCTTGAGCTAGAACTTGTACAGATACACTAGGTACTATTTATTAAATTACGATATAAAAATGTATGAACAAATTTCTACTCTTTTAAAAATTAAGTAAATTTTTGTAGTGATATTTTCTTTTTTTTTTCACTGCACACTTCAATTAATCTCACGTTGTTATAACGCAGTCTGCAATAACAAAATGTTTAAATAGTCAATTTTTTTTGACAGTCGTCTAATTGGATAAGTCTAATATTATTTATTTTTATAATTAAATATTTTCTATATTAAAAAAAATTGACTCGCATACTGTACCATACGATTTGAATAGCATATTTATATATTGTACCTATGTTATTTAAACAAAATTATCCGAAATTCTATGTTTCCAGATTCCCGGGACTCGGTCGACGAATTCGACGCCATCTTGCGACGCCCCCGCGCAATGTCCCGACCCGGGCTGCAACGAAGAAGAAGTATGTGCTCATGGCAGACAACTTGATGATAAAGGCTGCCCCACGTGCGCGTGTCGCGATCCCTGCGCTGAGGCGAAGTGCCGTGAAGATGAAATTTGCGAGCTGGTGAATTTGAATTGCGAGGTTTGTGCTCACTGTCGTTATTATTTAGGCACTTTGAAATAATATCTACTACATACATATTAGAACTGACACCGCGAACAAAATCTGTGCAACGGTGTGTGTTGGGCTTAACGGTGTTACAAACAAAATGCGTTAGGACGTATTACATTCACTATATATTACTTCAATGTTTAGGTGTATGATGGTGAAATATAAACTCTCTCCTTGTCAATCTCTCTAATTCTATGATTGATAACAGATGCGCGAAATTTTTCCGTGGGCTCGTACGCGGTGTTTTCAAAATATGCATTAGTTTGTTTAGCTGAGGCTACAGGTCTCGGGTCTCGGGGTACTTCCTAAGTTTAGTTGTGTGTTATTTTTATGGTTGGGGGTAGGGTATTGTGGTGTATTGATGGTGAAATATAAACAATCTATCACAATAATATTCGGAAGAGACTATTTTCGAGATGTTTTTGCTGTTAGTCTATTCGACTCTTACAGGTTCATCTGTCTCAGGGCTAATTAAAGAAGGGAAAGACAATGAACGTGAAGATGATGATGATAATGGTTTATGGTTTGGTATTGTTACCAATCATCATGTCGCCTGGTTATGCGTTTTTAAGCTATCTGACCGTTGTCTGAGTGGGGGAGTGCTGATCCCCACCTCTAACTGCTCAGCTCGTGTCGGTCGATGGTCTAGGCGGTGATAACCGCCCAGGTTGCTACTCTAGTAGGAATCGTGGTTGGATTCATTACGAATTTTGACTTTTAGTTTTATGTATTGTGTAAATGTAACTGAATCGATGTCTTTTATATTAATATCTTATTTTTAAACAAAATCATTATTAGATTGTCGAAAACAACGTTTGCGGTTTACAAAACAAAGAACTCGTTTTCGCATCCGCTCGCAATTGACTAAAAGTTACGGAGAATTGACCGTAACTTAGTACGCAATGTATTATTTGTTGTATGTTTGTATTGCAATATAAGTCTTTGTGCTCAACTTATTGTAAACACACAAACTCACGTATCAACTATGTTCATAGATATCTTACATTAAGCCTTGGTTAAGTATTCAATTCAATAAGTTCTTTATTTCCAAGAGGTTGTACATCACGATATTTGCATAACATTATTTAATAAAGCTACATTAGTACACATACTTGAAAACATAGCATCTGCAGCCGAACTAGGAGACCTGTGCATCAGCTGTCAGCGCCATATCCCCATCGTAGTAGTTTTTGATTAGTGCATTATACAACTTACAATAACAATGAGTGAGTGACACATTGTGTCATTATAGCAAGGTGAGTCGTGCGCGGCGCTGTTTCATTGCGCACCGGTGCCGCCTTCTCGATTTCGTTGTCATCAGATTTCTGAATTGCCTCTCATTATGAAATCAAAAAAAAAACAGTAAATGTTGTGTTGCAGTCATAGATATAGGGGAATAAAAATAGGGGAATTGACTGAGCGTTAGCGTCACAAAAGTGACAATTCTTTAGAAAGAGACAAAGCGACTGTGCGGCCAATACCTGTCTCTGTAACATAATTGTTCATACAGTTACCGCCAGTAACGTGAATCAATCAGAATTCTAGAAAGAGACAACTACTGGCCGCACATTCACTTGTCTCTTTCGCACTTTTCGGTCTGTATTCACTGCACAACATAATACGGAACGTACAGTCCATTCTCTCCATGTCAATCTCTCTAAAATCTCTATGATTGATACACAAGATGCGCGAACACATACTATATCCTCCGCTGGTCGCGGTCGCCTGACGCGCACGCCAGACGCGCTACGTGGCACCTTCCGTTCATCTCGTATTGTTATTTTCCGCTCAATGCAGACGCAAGACGCGTCGCGCTAGTGCGGCACATGGCTCAGTGTTGTCGTCTGTATGGAGTGCTTAGGCCCTACAGGTCTCGGGTCTCGGGGTATGCCCCCATTGTCCGGACTATAGTCGTGGCCCACTACTATGGGCCGGTCCTGGTAGTCTTATCTAAGACGTTGTTAGTTTATCGGACTTTAGACCGCAGTCGGTTAAAAAAATTTTTCGTAGTCGGTTAAGACTACGAAAAGGGTAGGGTATCTTATTTCGGTCTGAGTTGGCCTATCTGCGGCATTGTGGATTTTACTCAACTCTTTAATCTATATAGAGAGGAGTTCTCTTGAATAGGGTCGCCCGTCCGGAGGGCTCACACGGCTAAATCGGCTATAACGAATGTTTTGTTGTAGCAAGGCGAGGCGTGTCCGGCGCTGGGTCGTTGCGCGCCGGCGCCGCAGTGCCCGGACGGCGGCGAGGCGCTCCGCGCGCCCGGTGACGTCACGCCGCTGACGTGCGGGCCCAGCGCCGCCGCCTGCCCCGCCACACACGCGTGCCGCTACGCGCCGCACGACCCGCGCCCCGCCGTCTGCTGCCCCAAGCCCAGTAACTGAAGCTTTTTAGTATTCCTTTAATAACGAACTTACCTGTGCAGTCACCCGTGTACGGGCGGTGCTAGAATATCCACCACCCCGTATCATCCCGTGGGTGACGTAACAGGCGACAGAGGGAAACATAACAGGAAATAGACGACAGCAGCTTCGTTCTAATAACTATATATATATATATATATATAACCGAAGTTTTTCATTATATATATATATATATATATATATAATGAAAAACTTCGGTTGCCAACACGTTTGTCTTGGTGGCAAATATCCCCCCCTATGAGGCAATCTATGGGGAGGCCTATGTTCAATAGTAGACTTAAATAGGCTGTAACGGAAGAAATAACTGAACTGGCAATGGCCCAGCCATATAGCTCGGAGAACCGACAACCGATGGAAATAAAAATTCTCGAGTGGCAGCCTCGGACCGGTAGGCGAAGTGTAGGGTGACCCCCCACTAGATGAAGCGACGACCTAGTAAGACCTAATAAGTAATAGTAAGACCTAAATGTAGAAAGAAAGAAAGAAAAAGTCATTTATTTAACAATCACACTATACAAACAATTTAAGAAATGTAAATATAAATTACAAGTGGCAAGAATATTAATGCACAGGTGTAAGACTGCTTACGCATTAAAAATTATTAATAAGCAGTACATGCACGACGTTAAATAATAATGAAACAAAAGAAAAAACAAAAAAATTAAAGATAAAATGTGACATCAAATAGGTCTCCAACTCAGCATAATGCTGCAGAGGCAGCGCTGGTTTTCAGTTGGAGCCTTGTGACTTCACTGACAAGTCGTTGTGTGAACCTCCAATTGTCCACCAATTACGCGTAACTACGACTTATAGCCTAATTACTGGCTAAAGAGTAGTGCTAACGACCTTAACATTTAATACCCACATACTGTATAAATATTAATATAATACATACACTAATAATAATAATAATAAAGACCTCCAGACCTAATTTCGGTCACGGCGGCCTGCCTCAACGGAGGCTAGCCATCGGCGCAGGACAGGATTATAGTGCCCAAGTGTATGCGCAAGCACAGCTGCACTCTCTATTCCTTCACTCTCGTAATCCGATGGGACGGTAAACCGACACGACCGGTGAGAGATCAGGCGCAGGACCAACAGCTTTCAACAACACCGTCAACTTCCTGACTCCGGGCAGCTACTGAGAATTTCTTGACAGAAAAATTCAATAATTAATTTTTTGGCCCGACCCGGGATTCGAACCCACGACCTCATGATCAGCAGTCACACTACTACAACTTTATCCGTAGGGACGGTTTGTTTCGAGAGCAAGGACGAAGGTATCTGCCAGCCGGGCGCCGGCGCCAGCCTGAACGCGAGCCGCTGGTACTTCAATGCGGCGCGCAACCGATGCGAGCGCTTCACGTACGGCGGCTGCTCGAGCAACCACAACAACTTCCGCACCAAGGACGAGTGCAACGCCGTCTGCCCAGGTCAGTGTGGTCACAACTTTAGCCAAATATATTACCGCTGATGGATCACTGTTTCATTATGACGTGAATACGTCTTCTTATAATGGGTTTTTTATATGTTGTAGCATAAATGTATCGGCTCGACCGGGGAAAGACTACGCTCTCACAGAATACCAGCGTAAAACAGCAACTTAATACTGTGTTTCATATGGTGAGTGTAGAGAACCGGAGACCCTTTTTTACTGAAAACGAGGTGTTCCATCTTTGTCCTCAGGGGTGACAACGCATCTGCGTTTTGATTCTTAATTGAGGATAAATGTAGACGTCTATGGGCAACAGTATCCACTGAGCTGTGTGCTCATTTGTCACCCTTGTTCTATAAAAAAAAAAGAAAACTGACGATAACAATATCAGGGGATACAGTTCGGTGTTGCAATCTATACAATGTATGTGTATTATATATCCAAATTTGATTATATCACTCGATAGATAAAGGATCAAAGAATTCGCCAGTCGTCACGTTGACTATAACGCAACTCGCGCGGCTGATAGGGGGGGGGGGTGAGCGCCGTCATTTTGAGGTCGCTTCGTTGTGTACACGACCATCTACATCCCAATTTATTAAGAATTTCTACTCTATCGTGAAAACGTTTATCTTACATATATTTTACATAGACAATTACCCAAAATATTATTTGTAGACCGTGTAAACTGTAAATACTTGATCCGTTCATGCAAATATTATTTGTAGACCGTGTAAACTGTAAATACTTGATCCGTTCTTGCAAATATTATTTGTAGACCGTGTAAACTGGAAATACTTGATCCGTTCATGCAAATATTATTTGTAGACCGTGTAAATTGTAAATACTCGATACGTTCATGCAAATATTATTTGTAGACCGTGTAAACTGTGAATACTTGATCCGTTCATGCAAATATTATTTGTAGACCGTGTAAACAGTAAATACTTGATCCGTTCATGCAAATATTATTTGTAGACCGTGTAAACTGTAAATACTTGATCCGTTCGTGCAAATATTATTTGTAGACCGTGTAAACTCTAAATACTCGATCCGTTCATGCAAATGTTATTTGTAGACCGTGTAAACTGTAAATACTTGATCCGTTCTTGCAAATATTATTTGTAGAGCGTGTAAACTGTAAATATTCGATCCGTTCTTGCAAATATTATTTGTAGACGGTTTAAACGGTGAATACTTGATCCGTTGTTGCAAATATTATTTGTAGAGCGTGTAAACTGTAAATACTTGATCCGTTCTTGCAAATATTATTTGTAGACCGTGTAAACTGGAAATACTTGATCCGTTCTTGCAAATATTATTTGTAGAGTGTGTAAACTGTAAATACTTGATCCGTTCTTGCAAATATCGAACCCACAGCCAAATACTTAGCCACTGCCTTACTGAGCTGTCGTATTATACTTCCTCATCGTTAAAACATACATACCAAAGGTCGGTCAAGGATGTGTCGGTTCTGTTCCATAACGGAAGAAACGCCTCTACACATCCTAACTGATTGCGGACCCTAAATGCGCAAACGTAACACTCATCTGGGAAACTATGTACTCCGCCCAGAAGAAGTGAAATTGCTCACGGCTAAAGAACTCCGTCTATTCATTGAAGATATAGGGCTTAGCCGTGAATTATAGCCATAGCAGCGATCACAATAGATCTTCTAGGTCGCAGTGATACTGGTCTCTTTCCCTAGACTTGTATAGCTGCTCGCACTTAATAAAAAAAGGTCGGTACATCTGTCGCAGTGCGATGGTTTAATCGGCCAGCATCAATATCAAAACGCTCAGAAATTAAATGCCGGGATTCCACTAAATGCCTAGTAGTTTCTCTGCCACTGCAGCTCACAAAATGATGTCAAGATCTGATGTAATGTTACTGATGTCTGATGCATCTTTACCATAGTTATCTTTAAGATCATATAGACAAAGATTTACCTATAAATGATCTTAAAGATAACTATAAGCTTGAAACTCATGATTATTATTGCAAATAATAACATTATCTTTAGTAAAAAAGTTATCGTTAAATACTGTATTAGATTGCAGATAAATTTTGGCGAAAAATTTACCACAAGTATACGTACAAGTGGTGTGATTCTGTAGTAAATGTTAATGTATGTAAATAATAAATAAGAGGAAACGACGAAATAAGTCCGGGAATGATAATAAAGAGCTAAATTTTTTGTACAATTTTCTGCTCCTACTGTGTATATGTACCTACATATTCAAAACAAAAGAAATGTATATACTCAAAATTTTATACTAACTTTTAATGAAAACTTTTTATGTCTTATATCTCTGTCTTATAATTTTAAATAAAATTCAAATTAATATGTTATTTTATTAACCGTAATAATATGTTGCTTTTGAAACAGTGGACGAGATAACAACGAAATTAACGAATAAGAAGACCCAAGGAATTATTATAGAAACTGAAGGCATGTCCTGTAATTTTTTATTTTACACGTTCACACGCAATTGGCTCGTTCTATATTTCACAAAATGAGCACGTGTAAAATAACAGAAATTGTTTAAAAATAATAACACAAAATGCTTTATACGTCTAACAAGCCACTTTTCAAAATCATTTCATACATCGACAATTCATTTTTAAATAAAAATCATCTAACACTGACCATAAAAATAAAAGCTAGAAAAAAGAGAGAAAATTATTAACTGTAATAATCTTATTTTTTCATAGCTTATTTTACTGGTCTACCTTTAGGTACTAACATTGAAGTGTCGTCAGAAGATTTTTGGTTTTCAGTATTAAGCATCAAGCATCATTTATTGCTAACATTACTAAATAACTGGATAGTTACAATATTTTGATATTAACATAATAAAATCGTATTTGTGGTAAAGCTATTTAGATGGAGAACTAAAAACTAATGCGAATTCACAACAACGCATGCAGTTCATTAGTTAATTGTTAGGCCGAAAGCTTAGCCGAAACCTTTAAGCCAAAGATATCTACTATCTAGCAAGCGCCGAAATTGAACGAACTGTTTGGTATGGGCAAGAGCGCGAGAGACGTGGCGCCAAAATTTTATCATCTTCTTGGGATGATTAAAATCAATTTTTATATTGAACAGTCAATATAAACCTTTAATTTAAAAGTTTTAAAATCATCAATATTATTAATGTTAGGTAATTTTGAACAGATTTTCTAAGGGTTTTTAGCATTCGGTTTCACTTTCGGCCAGAAACCTTACACAGTACACAATGATCTTTAACCACAAAATTTTAATTCAAAGTAAAATGTATTATAACTAGCCGAAATTATGTACGTTACTTATATTATAATAAATTAAGTAAAATAATAAGTGATAACTACGCAGAAAATAAAGGCCTGCGTGATGCAGTTTGAAGTTTAAGACCACGTTAAGCTACTCTTTTCTTATCTGTTTTATCATACACATAGTAACATAAGATAAGCGATGTCCTAAATATGGCTGCATAGTCTAGTGCTGGTAAAATGTTCAGGCGAAGACCTTAGTTCGATTATCAATTTAATCCCATATTTGAACACAAAAGTAAGCATCATGCATTAGGACTAGGACGTTGCAATTAGTATCTTATGGAATACTTCCATCACTATTATTTTAATGAAACGTGGATTATACGTGTATTCTGTTAAATAATATTATTACATTAAGTATTATAATATTTACCTTGCACTGTTATAAAAATTTAAAATAAACACATAATAACATAGAATTTCACAATATATTATATTTTTATCACAGTTCTGACCCCGTGTGAACGTCTTCGGGAGAAGAACGAAGCAGCAGCACAGAAGTACGGCAAAGGCACGTTCATACCAAGTTGCGACGCCAGCGGAGCTTGGGAGTCCGTGCAGTGCATGTCACATATCGGTAAATATTCATTTATTTTATATTTACTAATTTTATTCTTATGTAATTTCTATTAAATATAGATTATATAGCCAGTCGAATGTCGGGGTCATTTTGGCCAATATGGCGCATCTGTCGAGCACTTTCAGAAGTACTAGTATAAAGTATATATATATATATATATATATATATATATATATATATATATATATGTATATATATATATATATATATATATTACCTATAGTATGCTATCACTCGACGCCATATATGGCTGTTTGACAGATGCGCATATTATTTGAGACGCCAGAATATGGCGTTTGGACAGACGAGAGGATAAGAATATTTGTTAATTAATGTTTAACTTTTATCTGTGGTTCAGAGAAACCTCTGTACTTGGAAGAACCAGAAATAAATTCAGCAGAATTTTTTTTCTTCAAAGTAACAATTTATATATAGATTTATGAAAATAATGTTAGAAACAGCTTTACAGTGATATCCCAGGGGATATCATCAACTATGTAATCATTAATATTATATTATTTATTTTTATATTCTTGTCTACAATATAAACTTGCCTTGAATATTATAAGGACTTGCCTTGAATTTATATTTAAAACATTGACTTGACATTATATTTAAAACATTGTCATCAAGCAAGAATTGCCTCTATGAAGTCAAGTAATTGGAAAATATTATGTCTTTCTTTCTTTTTTGGTCTGACGTAGGGCATGAATTTGTTTGTAAACAAACCGGATTACGCGTGAGGCGTATTTATCGTAAAAGGAAAAAAACAACAGGTATTCAAAAATAACAGATTCAAACAGTTCCTTTTAAAATATAACAACTGTACCTGTTCTACGTGCAAACAATTTTCAATAACATACCTGAAACATTTTAGATTAAACTTTACTGTCTTCAGGAAGGTTACCTAAGGTGAAAAGATGTTGAAACACACGTTTTTAAAACGTAAGTTTAGATTCGAATCCACACAAATATTTTAGCATTTGAACTTTACCATTTAAATCAAGGGATTTTTAAAACTTAAAAAAGAATTATAAATATAACAACTGTACCTGTTCTACGTGCAAACAATTTTCAATAACATGCCTGAAACATTTTAGATTAAACTTTACTGTCTTCAGGAAGGTTACCTAAGGTGAAAAGATGTTTAAACACACGTTTTTAAAACGTAAGTTTAGATTCGAATACACACAAATATTCTAGCATTTGAACTTTATCATTTAAATCAAGGGATTTTTAAAACTTAAAAAAATTATAAATATAATATTCAATGCAACATACACATATTTAATCCTTTGCCTGGCCCATAAATTATATAGGTATAAAAATTTGGATTGTTTAGCTATTAAGTCTATTTTGCGGACGGAGAACCTGTTATTCTATGTAAAGATATTATCGAGGACAAAAAAATTAAGGTAATTAGTAACTTTATTCAATGGCATTGCAATACCACAACAATATAACAGGGATAATACAGACGTAAATTGGACTAGTTTAGTTAAAATAGTGATTCCCTAAGTGGTCTATATCGACCCCTAGGGGTCTATGACAACCTGCAAGGGGTCTACGTCAGCGAAAAAAAAATTGGGGGTCCATGAAATGAAAATGGGGGTCCACGATAGTGGATCTCAACACATACACTGATAGTACCTATTTACTTACATCATACTATCATATAATATCAAAACATATACATTATTTATAAAAGTACCTATGAAGTAAAAAATTTATTATATATGTTTATAAAATTGTGTAAGTTGTAGGATGTTGGTATTCGCTTTGTGGTCGCAATACATTTTGAACTTGTAAAAACCTGAGAGTCGAGTGAGTCAGCGTTATTTTGTTTGAGAGTGCTGGAGAAAAGTAAGTACATTATTTTTTATTAAATTTTAGTTTTGTACTCGTAGTTAGCAAACATAGATAAATTACGCAAATCATGCAAAATTACACGAGTACTCCTAAATATTTGAAAGTTTTATCAATCTGTATTATAATTACTGTGCAATCTCCGTAATTCGAGCTAATTGTTGTAAGAAGATGTTCGAATTATAGAATGTTTTCGGAAAAATCAAAAAATATTTTTAATATACACTGCTGGATTTTCTGTCTTATTTAAATAATTTAATTATGCCCACAGATGACTGATGCCATGTCCGAATCTTAAAAGAAATGTAGACAGTACAGTGTCGATTATTTGAAATTTGGCTTCATTCCATCATTGCCGGACAAAAAATTGCCTATGTGCCTTTTATGCAACAAAGTTTTGGGCAATGACGCTATGAAACCATCTAAACTGCAAGATCATCTGAGTTGATGCCACCTTGATAAAACAGAGAAAGATTTGAAATACGTTCAAACTCTCAAAGATAAATTTCAGAAGAGACCTACACTGGACAGAATGTTCGCTTCGACGTCACAAAGAAATGATGATGGTTTGCGGGCGTCTTACAGTATCTCGTTACTTATAACAAAATCCGGAAAACCGCATACTATGGAGAGAAGTTAATTTTGCCAGCCGTTGAAGAGGTTTTAAAAACTGTTTTACACAAACCTGCATCCGATATCATTAAAAGAATTCCCTTAAGCAACAATACTGTTGAAAGACGTATTGATGAAATGAGTTCTGATATTGAAAGCTTCTTATGTAATTATTTGCAAACGACCCATTTCTCTATACAACTGGACGAGTCAACTTTACCTGATAATGCAGCATTATTATTGGCATTTGTTCCTTTTATTATGAATCAAGAAATCTACGACGAACTGCTCTTCGCAAGAACTAACCGACACTAAAAGTGAATCAATATTTCATGTTTTGAAGGATTACTTCATTGAAAAAGCAATTCCTTTATCAAATATAATATCAGTAGCTACTGATGGAGCACCTGCCATGGTTGGGCGTTATCGTGGATTTATAAGCTATTTAAAATAAAATGTGTCAGGGGTGTTAGCAATACATTGCGTCATCCATCGACAACATTTAGTTGCTAAAAATTTGAGTGTTAGATTGCATGAATCACTTCATTTAGTCATTGATGCAGTAAACCGAATCCGAAGCAACGCGATGAATACGCGGTTATTTGCGCAGTTGTGTGAAGAAAATGAAAAAATGAACACTTTCATCAATTACTCCTTCACACTGAAGTACGCTGGCTGTCGAAAGGCTTATGTTTGACAAGATTTTTTGCACTTTTTGATACTATTTTAGAATTTCTGGATACTAAAGATAAAATTTTAAAAGAAAATTTAATGAAGAGGAAAACAGACATCGCCTATTTAACAGATTTGTTTACAAAATTTAATATGGTTAATTTACAATTACAAGGCGACAGTTTAAATTTGATTAAAACAAAGTCCATCTTATCAGCGTTTCTTGCCAGAGTTAAACTAATTTGAAGCAAAATATTGGACTGGGCGAATTTTCTTTTTTCCCCAATTCCTTAGTTCACCAATTTGTCACAGACAAGCTGCCAGGAAGACGACGTTTCAACTTACGTTCAACATTTAAATGCCCTCTATTCAGATATTGAATCTAGGTTTGAGGATATTTTGACTATGGTAATACCACCGTGGATAATTAATCCATATGGTGACATAGAAGAAACGAATGTCATAATACAAGAGGAAGTGACTGAACTGAGTACCTACAAACGAAGAACTTAAGGTTCAGTTTAAAAACGGATATCAGCAATTCTGGCTGCAAAACAACATACCCGTTACTTATCCCGTATTATGGAATATAGCGAGGAAATTTTTAATTTCCTTTCCATCGTCATACCTAGTGGAAAGGGGGTTCAGCGCTGTTACCAATCTCCTAACGAAAAAAAGAAACAGACTGGACATAATTAGCCGAGGAGATTTAAGATTAACCCTTACAAAATTGACGCCAAATGTTGATAATTTATTATTAAAGCATCAGGTTCATCCTTCTCACTAAAAATATTGACTTATTGCTTATGTTTTTTATTTATAGTTTATTTTATGTTTATTTAATGCTACGTATATTTTACATAACAGATACAAAATTTTATTTTGAGTAGTTTTAATTTAAATTCAATTAATAAATGTATAAATTAACATGTGTTTTTACTTTAAGTTTTTAACACTAAACTTCACTACAGTTAGAAATTTACAGGAAATCAATATCAGGTAAGTACGACACAAAAAATTTGGGGAACTCTGAGTTAAAAGATCATTGTTAGTGAAACTTGTTGCGAGATAACAGCCTGTTGTTTTGGATTAGGCTACAGGAAATATTATTTTAAAAGAACAAGGTTTTTATACCTGATACAGCTCACACCTAAGATAACAGTCTATTAAAGTCCACTGCTGCACGTAGACCGCTCCCATAGATTGTTTCATGGGGAGGATTTTTGCCATAGTTTCCACGCTTAGCATGCGGCTTGCTAACCGCAGTTTTTTATTTTTATTCAGATGGTATCAGAAAGCTGCAGCGGCCCATCTCGTGGTTCAGCTTTCCTCTGTCACATACGACTCCCATGAGATGATATGAGGTAGTGCATATTCTTACACCGCCACTACACGGTGGTGGAACAGGAACTGTTTGTGAATTTCAAAGGGACAGGTTCTTTTAGCTAGTATATCGTTGGGATAAGTCGATGTCATTCTGGTTGTTGTGGTGGGTGCAGACGTGTGCTGGTGCGTGAGCGCGCACGGCGAGCCGCAGCGGGGGTCGCTGGTGCGCGGCGCGCGGCCGGCCTGCAACTTCCGGCAGGCACGCCGCTGGCGGCCCCGCGACCCCGACGACGAGCGTGCGAGAGCCGACGAAGGTACGACTATCTCTTTCTTTGAAATTGTTTGTTTTTTGTTGTCTTTTGAAATTTATGAAATTGTCTTATATTATGATAATTTGTTTAAAATCTTCTTCATATACTGGATAATTTTTTTACCGTCTGTAAAAAATAGGGTGTCATGTGAACGAAGTAGAAACCTATGGCACTGATATTTTACAAAAAATAAAACAAAAATTATGAATTAAATAAATTAATTAATTAAAATCTATCCAAATTGAAATCACATCTATCCTACTTTATGAACGGTAATAAAACTAGTAGGCATCTTTGACCTTGTCACTTCGCAGGGTCACCAGCTCAACAAGGGCAAATGGAAAAGTAATTGTTCAAAAAATTTCAAACGTTTAATTCAAAACTTTTGTTTTTATTTTTTGTAAAATACCAGTGCCATAGGCTTATACTCCGTTCACATGTTAAGCCCTATTTTTTTCCAGACGGAAAAGGGATACCTGTATATAGATGAGTCACATTAAAAAGCTCGTGGGAGATTATATTTGGGAGTGTTTGTCTGATATATCGAAATAACTGCCTTTTATTTTTTGCATGCAAATAAATCACCCAGCTCAATAAAAGGCAGTTATGCCATTAAGGGCCTATACTACTTCAGCTCAAATTCTAATTTCGCCCCCACTTCCCCGTGCGTCGTATGCTATGTACCGACACGTTTGTAATCACTAATACTGTAAATAGGTAGGTCATTAGATGCTTATTTAATTAGATTTATCATATTTCTTTCGGTTTCTTTACGCCAACCCAGCCGCTTCTTATTTTTATTACGGTTATTTCCCATCTTAATTTTACGTCGTCCTACGGCGTAATGTGTATTCTGATCGTAAGTGACACAGCTTTCCCGGGCGAAAAGGGAGCGGGAGTATCGGGCGGCAAGGGACAAACTTCAGGACGCTGATATTTTAGGTAATTGCCCTGCTTTATAGTTAGTTGAGTTAGTATGCAGTTTCATGATCTAATTTAAAGTATTTTGTGAATACCAGCGGTTTATTGTTCGGTTTGGAGGTAACTTTGGATTTTTTCCTATCGAGAAAATTTTACGGAATCGTGTTTTTGTCTAACATAGTATTTAACATTAATCCTCAACTTTACCATATATTTATTTCAAAATTAATTCTGCAATTTTTTCGGCATAACGGATCCTCCGTGCTAAGCCATTTGAGGTAGTATAGGCCCTTAAGAAGAAAATACCATTTTTAAAATTTTTGTTCGATTACATCGGTGTAGATGTAATCGATTAAAACATGACCTGCGCAAACTAACAGCAAAATTATCCATCGCTCAAAATTCTTACAGTAATTTTTATTTCTTTGTATGTTTCAAATCTAAAGGTCGCCACTTAATTACGATACTTATATTATTTAAAATTTTAAACGTAACTATATATTTAAATTACAGTCTTGGAAGAGCTCATCAGACAAATGACATCATACCGGGTAGACGAATTCGAGGAGGAAGACGATGAACATACTGAAGACAATATTGACTTAGAGCCACAAAGCAGAGAAACAGCAACTGACGTTTCCGAAAGCGCCGTGTTGGTGTCGGAGGTCGTTGAACCCAGAGTATCACAGACTACGAGAGCGAATGACAAGCAACTAGAAATTGCCACAGATCAAATAGTTTTCAAAACGAAATGTCAAGTTTTATTAGAGGAAGCGGAGAAAGGTAAATTATCCAACAATATTTTCAAAGTGTATTTTTCAAATGCTTAAATTGATTGTATTTTGCGAAAGTAAAGAATAAGCATGCTTGTTTTTCAATCATGCTTGAACGAACTGGAAAGATTCTAATGAAATTTGGTATTGATCGACTTCTATGTCAAAGAATAAGACGTAGGATAATTTTTATACCAACTAACTAAGATAGAATTCCTCGTTTCCAGTGAAAAATTCTGATTCTCTACACGCACCATATGAAATACAGCAGCGTAAAGCTCCTATTTTACGCTGCTATTCTGTGAGAGCGTGGTCCTACCACGGTCGAGTCGACTCATTCGCGCTATAACAATACAGCTAATATAGCTGCAGCATGGCACTATCACGTCTAAAATTTATTTCACGTTTGAACAAATTCCTGTGTATGTAGAAACTTAAACTATGAAATTTTAATTCCTTATCTTTAAATGAGGACGACCCACAGTTTTTTACCGCACATGTAGTGTGTGCCATAATTTTAATTTATTTGCATGACAGGACAATCATAACGGACAGCTCCCGAGCGACAAACGGCCGCTCGGGAGCGCTCCGCCCGCATCTGTAAATGTTAGTAGCAGTTAGACTGAGGCTCTACCACGTCTAAAATGACCCGTAATAAGAGTGCGGTATAAACATCTCGTTTATACCAGATGTAAAACGCCTAGACTGTCGACTGGCAGCAGCGTTAAACGTGCCAGTCATTTGGTATTGCAATTGTCAATACACCTTCCAAGCGTAACGATTAAGGTAAATCCTCCCTAAAACGAGAGAGGTCCGTGTCTTTTACAGATTAATTAATAAGTATCGTCTAGTGCCGGTGTAAGAATATACACTAATCCAGATCGTCGCAGTGTCGTAAGAACGTAAGAGGCGCCAAAAGGGAACGAATCAGAAGCATCTTCTCAAATAATAAGTTAAAAATAAAACAACTTTGGTTGTATACCTGCTCACAAAGCGGGGCTACTATTTCAAATACCCCTTTTATGAGGCAATCAATGGGAAGGCTTATGTCCAGCTGTGGACTTTGATAGGCTGTAATGGATGAATGGAAATAAGGAGAAATGATCTTTTAATATTCGGTTTTATATGTTGCGACTATTTTTGTAGTTGTTTGTTGAGCTTTCTCTGGTAGTTTGTTTTCCTATTCTAAGCCAGCTCTTGACTATTTCACTTGATGGTAAGTGGTGATACAGTCGAAAATGGTAAATCGCGCGTGGAAATAATTTCCAATAAAAATTACTTGTAATCTACATTGCATAAAAATATTGTATTCTATTCCATTCCATTCCCTTATATTCTACTGATTTGACTAAAGCCTACACACTCTTGCCTTGAAGACACCCACTGTAATCGAATGAAAAGAAAGATGCAACTTAATCTACTCCTTTGTATTATGGTGTGTATTGGTAAGGACTACAGACTGTGTATTAAAAAGTGTCCGTAGAAAACCGTTTAGGCGCCACTATAGCTACGGTGTAAATTTTGAAGAACGCGTCGAAAAATATTAGTGGAATAGATGACTTTTTCGAAGTTATATTTACTAAATAAAATTATTTTAGATTTTAGAGCTACTGAGCAGTTTAGCAGCACACTTCACACCTTCGACAACTGCTAAGTTCATTTCCTGTAGCTGTTTTCTGTAGCTGTTTTCTGTAGCTAGCTACTCCAGCGCTGTTGTGGAGAGTTTTTGAACTGTTATTTATTGCTTACAGATGGACACTTTTTCAACTATTCTCCTATGAGAGATTGTTCTCCTTACCTCTACACTCATACTTTGTATGTATAATAGGTTGACGTGTTGTAGATGACAGTTGTTTTTTTTTTCCAACAGCAGGTGACAAAAGCATGCGGCCGCGCTGCCAGGCAGACGGTGCGTTCGCGGCACGGCAGTGCGCACGCGGCCGCTGCTGGTGCGTGGACGCGGCCGGACAGCGCCGCGCGCACGTGCACGTTGCAGACGCACCCGCACCGGACACCTGCGGTACGTTGTACTATACGTTACACACGCACACCTTCGATGCTGGTGCGGACACCTGCGTCACGTTCACGTTAAATACACTATGCACACACAAACACATTCATGCGCGCGAGCGTGCCCGTGTTTGTGTGTGTGTGTGTGTGTGTGTGTGTGTGTGTGTGTGTGTGTGTGTGTGTGTGTGTGTGTGTGTGTGCGCGTGCGTGTGTGTGCGTGTGTGTGCGTGTGCGTGCGTGTGTGCGTGTGTGTGTGTGTGTGTGTGTGTGTGTGTGCGTGCGTGTGAGTGTGTGTGTGTGTGTGTGTGTGTGTCGTGTGTGTGTGTGTGTGTGCGTGTGTGTGTGTGTGTGTCTCTGTGTGTGTGTGTGTGTGTCTCTGTGTGTGTGTGTGTGTGTGTGTGTGTGTGTGTGTGTGTGTGTGTGTGGTATGTGTGGGGTGTGTGGTGTGTGGTGTGTGTGTGTGTGTGTGTGTGTGTGTGAGTGTGTGTGTGTGTGGTGTGTGTGTGTGTGTGTGTGTGTGTGTGTGTGTGTGTGTGTGTGAGTGTGGTGTGTGTGTGTGTGTGTGTGTGTGTGTGTGTGTGTGTGTGTGTGTGTGTGAGTGAGAGAGAGAGAGAGTATGTGTGTGTGTGTGTGTGTGTGTGTGTGGAGAGAGAGAGTGTGAGTGAGTGAGTGAGTGAGTGTGTGTGTGTGAGAGAGAGAGAGTGTGTGAGTGTGAGTGAGCCGAGTGAGTGAGAGTGTGAGTGGGTGAGTGAGTGAGTGAGTGAGTAAGTGAGTGTGTGTGCGTGTGCGTGTGCGTGTACGTGCGCGCGCGCGCATATATATCTAAATATATCTTTAACCATTATCAATATTGAATGAAACGTATCATAAGTTTTACGGATTTTATCGCGTTTTATTAAATTCGACTTCCTAATGTCTGAAGGTAGCCGTGATTAACTAAGAGTATGACGTTGGGATATCGAACACCTCAATCCCCCCCGTGATCATGGATGCTGTAAAGTAACAGAACGATGAGAATATACTGGATGACCTTTTGTACCGCCTGTAAAAAAATAGGTTGTAACATGTGAACGGAGTAAAAGACTATGGCGGTGATATTTTTTTTTAAATAAAAACAAAAACTTTGAGTTAAATAAATAAATTAATTAAAATCTATCGAAATTCACATCATATCCACCCTGCTTTAATAAAGGCAATAAAACAATAAATTTAAAAGGCATCTTTGACCTTGTCACTTCATAGGGTCACAGACTAGGGTGTGGATATGATTTGAATTTCGATAGATTTTTATTTATTTATTAAATTCAGAATGTTTGTTTTTATTTTTGGTGAAATATCAGTGCCATAAGCTTCTAATCCGTACACATGTTACACACTATTGTTTCCAGATGGTAAATAGGGTCACCCAGTATAGTAATAAAAACTGTAAAACTCGTTTCATTCAATGTATGGCGTTCGCGCAAACATTAAAATCAGAATTGTTTATATAATACATGAAAAGAAAACTTGATGACTTGAAGTTGACCGGATAGATCGAGAGTGAGCGAGAGGTTGCGTCTAGTTGAGTGGTTCACCCCAGCGGAGCGCTATATCCATGGTGGCAAATTGAAATCTGAATCTCTCAGAAATCTAAAAATGAGGGTATATCGAAAAACTTCCACTCGTTTGTGCAGTATAAAGTTCACTGTAGGCGCTGTGCAGGGGAGATTCCGCTTTTCGAATCATTATAAGAGTAAAGTCATGCTACGCGTGCTGAGATTCTAGATAAAACATACCGGAAAACAGGTTCTGTTTGTGGTAGGTAGTAAATCTTCTGGTGCAGGGAAGGAAGATGGTTGTTCTGAGAGGTTGCTCTGTGTTACACTAAGATGTGTAGTGTGGCTGTTGGCTTGCATACTTTGGTGTTATCATGTAATTACGTTTCTCACGTTACACCAGTGTTTAATTGTGACGGGGACATGTTTCGGTATGGTCAGCCTGTAATTGCTCTATACTGAATGTATAGTGCGTTACGCTGTCTTGTTACTGGTAATGATTGATTGCGTAAACAAGAGAGTAAGTTGAACATCCACTCTCACGCTTACTATTTTTAACAATTAATTTTTTCTGATATATTTCCGAGACCAGTAGTGGAATCTCTTTGTTGTATTTCATATATTTCCTACAAGTATTTTGCGCGCACTGAGGGGTGTAAAATTTGGTATAAGTAAAGTTTTCGTGAAGAGGTAGTGCAGAAAGCTAAAAATTTATAAGTATATAATCCCAGCGATCTGCACCTTCTTCAAACGGGTGATTTCTGGTTATTGGCGACAGCGCCACCTACCAAGTCCAATATTGTGAATCTAAACCGTTCTCAAATCAACTTAACCACATACACGTTACACAAGATTCATAAAAACATTATAGTTTAAGTAAAAATATTAGTTTAAAAATATAAATACTTAGTGTTCTCGTAATAATTTGCTCATTTTTAAACCGCTTTCATCATTTCCCAACAGAGGAGACTCAAATCGAATCAGCCTTATTGGAGCTGGAGCTTGTCGGTGCTAGCATCGAAGACGGTGAAAAGGCCCGAGGTGCTCTATCAGCGAGATTAACAGCGCTCGGAGCAAGAGTTCCAGTGACAATAGTCAAAGAACAGGGCGTAATAAAGCTGCGCGCTCTACTGAGCGGTCCACGAGCAGCTGACATGGCTTTTCATCTGGAGAATATGGTAACCATTTTGCTATATTTTTTATTTTAACTATGTGTGATTATAACGTAGGAGAATCGATTCCAAACATAAATAGATTGCATAAACTTGCGTAAAATAATTGTATAATGCTGCTGTGTTGTGTATGGCCATTTTACTGGTAGTGAACGAAAGAGGCATTCCATTTTAGTCTTCGGGGTGACAGCGCACCTAAGTACATCTCAAAAAATTTAATATAGCTGTAGCATGGCCCTACCACGTACAAAAGCTAAAGCGTCGCCACATTACTTACCTGATATTACATTTTAATTTTTTTTATAGCATTGGGTGACAAACGAGCACACAGTCCACCTGATGGTAAGTGGTCGCTGTGGCCCATAGACATCTACATTTATCCTCAATCAAGAATCAAAATGCAAATGCGTTGTGACCTGTGAGGACTAAAATGGAATGCTTTGTTTCCAGTTAAAAAAGGTATCCGGTTCTATACACTCACCATACGGAATACAGCAGCATTAAGGTGCTATTTTACGCTGATATTCTGTGAGAACATGGTCCTAGCCCGTTCGAGCCGATCTATTCGTGCTACAACTATAATATAGCTACAGCGTAGCTCTACCACGTAAATCATGATATCAATTTGAAGTACAGCCCTTAAGGTGGCCCTAGTCCATGGCACGAACTAAGTGGTGGGCGGGGTTAAAATGCATGCTATCTCGCATATAAAGCGAAAGGCATGATGATTTACAACAAAACGAGCGCGCGTAATTTTATAAACAGACCTTTGAGAATCTGGATATCATGAAAAATCTATTTAATGTATGTGTTAAAAATAAAATTATTTGCATTTTTGAATAACTAATCTATCCCTGTATGGTAACTGTTTTGCAATTTTCGTTCTTCTCATGGTATTTATTTCCGTCCAAAGATGTGTTAAAATTAGTACTTTTAAATATTCGTTTTTTACTTTTTGTTTCCATGCAGGGCTAGGTAATGATGAGACAAATTGAAATTTTATTTTGAACGTACACCATCAAACAGTGGAGTAATCGCCAGACTACGTTTGTATGGAAGAATGAGTGGCTAGTGTACCCTTAAGCATTTAGTACAACTCCCGGTCCACTGACGACGCGTGGGAATAATAACAAATATTCCCAATTTTCACCGAGGGACTGTTCTGGCAACAATGGCAAACGTATCCTAATAATTGGTAACCCGTGTAGTGTATGTGATACAAAGTATTCGTTTGTTTGATGCAGGTTAAAAAAGAAAAACTGACGGGCGCTCGAAAATCGGAAGCCGGTGTTATTGGTGCCGATGTGATCCGCAGTGAATACCGTTTAGCAGTACCGACGACGATATCACAACAGCGCGAAATCGTCACCGAGTCTACCGTAAGCTTTAACATTTAAGTTTACTGTAAGATCTTTCATGTTTCAATGTTCTCTGGGACCTGTGTATAGTCCCATATGTGGTTTAAGAGGCGGCTGAAGCGACAGTAGCCTAATGCTAGGGCGCGAGCCGCGAACTCAAAAAGGTCGTGGGTTTGAATCCGCCATTCGACTACTGGCGTGAACCACTCGTTACACAAGCAATTTAAGCTTACTACGAGTGGTTAAGGGGAATATTAGTAATGTTTAAAGCATTGTTAATATTCTTTTAAAAAAAGTGAAACGGTTGATAGGTAGCAGTGTCTTCCTAATAAGTAAACATAAAAAAACTGCACTTGACAACTCGCATCCCACGCGTGGTAACGAAGCCAAATCCCCCCTTTGACGCAATCTATGGGAGAGGCCTAAGTTCTTTAAGACTTTTGATAGGTTTTAAGGTATATTCCCAATAGAAAATTTTTCCGAAAAAGAAATATCATGAAAGTAATAGTAGTTTGACGTTAATTTGTAGAACTGTCTATGCGTTCCATTAGCGGATTTTTTATTTTGCAAATAGATTGCCGAACCGATAAAAAGTTGCAGCCTATATTCTTCCCGATTCTGGGTACAGCAGGCGTCCTCTATTATTTTGAGATGTTTATGGAGCGATTAATCCGCTGCGGTACTCCAGTGCGTGTTGCTTCACGAAATATTTATTCACGACAATTATTTCACCGTCTCCTTTGCGACAGGGCTGGCAACACTAATTGGAAGCGGTCGTGTATTGATAGAACTATCTATTTCATTCGTTCATTCATTTCCTTTATAGCTAGGAACAAATAATATTTATAATATTATAACATTCCGATTAGTTTTATAGTACATTAGCTATCCGACCCGGCTTCACACGGGTGATTTTTGTCTTGATTTTTGTTTTTTGTCTTGAATCATTCTGTCTATTGATGAAAACCGCATCGAAATCCGTTGCGTAGATCAAAAAAATTAAGCGTACAGACGGCTGGAAGCGACTTTGTTTTATACCATGTAGAGATCGAAATCAGAATCAATGACCATCTTATAATCAATATTCTATAAACATATTAAAATAGTAATAAAACTTTTATCAATTCGTTATTAATGTTTTTAAATAAAAAAGTACAAGTAAAGTTACAGCCTATATACGTCCAACTGCTGGGCACAGGCCTCCTTTCATTTCTGAGAGGGTTTATAAACAAAACAAAAAAAGGAAATGTCCGCCGCGCTTCCCCATGCATGTTGGCGAACTTCACAAGTCTTCGAAATATTTTTTTATTCCTCATACATGCAGGTTTCCTCACGATGTTTTCTTTCACCGCTGAGCACGTGATAAATCTGCACTTAAAATTGCAATTAACAATTTCATTGGTGCCGGCGGAAATCGAACTCGGGTTACTTGCGTTCTGTTATATTTACAGCGAGCGTTAACCATCTGAGCTACCACGACTCTCACGCTAAAACTTTTAACAATTTGTTATTAACGTTTTTGAATATTTTCATTTAAATTGTGTATTTATTCCAGGTATCGGCAGCTACATCCTACCACACGGCTCTCATTGTTCTAGCTGCCACGTCTGCATTTATTATTAGTGTACTTTGCGTGTTGGTGATGCTGTATCGCGCTAGACTGCAAAGAGAGCCTCAAAAAGCAGAACGTTTCCTCCCACCGGCTCCTCCAGTGTACGTCCTCTCAGCGGACGAAAAAGCTGAACTGGCGAGGGCTTTACACGTTCAAAATAATCCATCGAATGATGATTCGAAAGTTTAATCTGTATATAAATGTCAAAGTTGACATTTACGTTACTCTACTCAAACAAACACGTTCGGAAACGCGCCTTCTAAAGTTAGTACAGGTTATAAATAATTATAAGGGTCCAAATAACTGGCTGGAGTTTTGAGTAACGGAAATGAATGCTAATACTTAACTTTAAGTTTCAGCTTTGGCCAGAGCCGGATTAAGATACAACTTCATAGACACTTAAAAATATGCAGTTGACGAAAAGTGGGTCCCAAGACTCGGGGCCGCCTAAGTGGGTTAATCCGAACCTGGCGATGGCAATTGAAAATGTGTTTAAAACTTCGATTGGTCGTTGTTATAATTTCAATTTGTTAAGTTTAGTTTCGTTACTAATCGTAAGTTATAATATCGACGAATGTCCCTTAATTTGGTCTTCCATATTTCAGATCTACATCAGCACATAAGATTAAAAAAATCTGTTAAAAGAAAACCAATATACGATTGAGAACGTCTTGTTGTAATGGACGCCACACACGGTCGCTTCAACTGATCATTCCAACTGATGAGTTCAAACTAAAACTTTTGATATTTTTTAAAATAGTGGTTTTTCGATGTATCGATCATTATAAATATATTAATATTGGAGTTTTACATATAAGTTTATTTATGGATATATCGAAAATCCGATATTTTAAAAAATATCAACAGTTTTAGTTTGAAATGATCAGTTGGAATAATCAGTTTAACTGACCGTGTGTGGCCACCATAAAAGTATGAAATCTGTGAGTGTAAGATCTTGATAGAATAAAATTATTTTTTACTTTGTAATCTTACTATCAGCCAGTGCTTGACTACTATCCCACGTAATGGTAAGTGGTGATGTAGCTGAAGACAGTGATAAAAGTATTTGGCTGTGGATGGAAACGGGAAGATCACCGGGCGAGGTGATCGGCCCGCTAAGCGTCCAGTGCTCCGTGTAATAGTTGGGAGCTATTCTATATTTAACGCAGGACTTCAGAACTTTGATAGCGCGATTAGGTTTCGGTGCGTTTCGCTTGTAGCGCGACGATAGCGCCGCCACAAGTACTTAAATAAAATATTTTATCTATGATATATGCACTGATACATACTAAGCAACTTAATTATTAAAATCTCGTTATTACTGTACAATATTATAATCAAAAATATATATAGATATAATATGTTACCTAATTCACTTTACGCTACGCCTGTTCTCTTTCCGCACAGTCTCATATCTTGAAATGGTTTTACCCACAGAAATCGTAACAAATTATTACGATTTCTGTGGTTTTTTCCAAAAACTGGATACACATAATTTGCCTTAAGATATATAGAGTGTGATGTACATCTTTTACATTTACTGTTAATCTACGATAGTTTAATGTTTATCTGTAATTACTGTGTCAATATCCGTATTGGGCATTTGACACATAGTATGTAGATTTATCAATTGATGTAAACTTAATGCTGGCAATACTCAATCGTCCAATTCGGCTCAAAGCGTTCTTCCAAACCTTGTTCGAATATTAAATCGTACATTCGTATATCTAGATGACGTGAAATCAACCAAACCCTTGGTAAAACGAAGACTGTGAACGACTACGCAACGAAACAAAACATCTTGATGTGTAGAGAGAGGACCGGTTCGTGCGAGTTGGCCATTTCTATCACCCTCTTAGATATAGAGTCGATTAACGAGGGAACCGGCGTTTTGGCGGGAACTTGGCCGACGACGGACTGTCGCTCCTGTTTTGTCGCTTGAATAATGGTTTGAAGTGAATTTTAATTCGTAAAAGTGATGTGATCTTGTGAATTAAGTGTCTGCGCGTGTGAACTATTAGAGAAAACGACGAAACAAGTGCTTTGATGTTGATATAAACCTCAAGTTAATTTGATCGCTTGGGCGCCTTATGAACTTGAGTGGCTGTCGTCACCAACAAACAGTCCGCTAGGTTGAGCTGTCGTCAAAATCTCCCAAAACTTCGCAATGTGACGCATCAGCATATTGTGAATAAAAAATATGTAAAATGAATATTCTGAATGAAATGATGATGAAGGCTCAGAAGGACTAGTACCCAAAGCCATAAAGCCAGTTAAATAAAAAAATGAGGGCACCCACGACTTTTTCTGCCACCAAGGCGGCGCTAGTTAAAAAAATTCAGATTATATAACGGGAAAGTTAATTAAATATAAAAGTTAATGTTTCTTTCTGTACTACGAGTAATATTTTATATTTTTAGAGTAAAAATATATAAACCAAACTACAGATATTCATAAAAGTAGTAAAAATATTAAAAGAAGTGTTAAAAACTGTACAAAAACTTAAAGAGCGAACCACTGAGGCATTGTTTTGTGTATTAATATTATACTCTAGAAAGTAATAAACATACACTAACTTCTCAATTATATGACATTATGTCAAAGATATAGTTAGATGCGCCTTCACCTTGAAAACTGTGGCATTATTTTTGGATGTGTTCGTTTGCAAGACGCTGACGCGCGCACACTAATGCAATAGTCTCATCTCTTTATTATCTTACAGAAATTAAGTATACTACTTTTCTGTCGCACAAATGAGCACTGATTGCGAATGAGTGAGCTCACTCATTTGAGAATGAAAACATTTCGAAGTTGTCTTACTATTGTAAGCGCGCATCTAACTATTTAAATCTTTGGATTACGTAACAAAAACTTCACCTCAGTGTCAACTAGCAACATCTGACGAGCGAAAGATAATTAGCCGTTGCCGCCCTCATCGCTGAGCTAGCTTGACCCAAAGAGTATAGTAAATATATAAGGAAAGCTTGACCGATCCAACCAACGCGCACAAACCACTCTTCTCACATTGAGTTTTGGTGGGCTCGTTGGAGGGTTGAATTACTTGTTTGGAGCCGGCATTATTTTCTGACGTATTTTTTCATTCAGTAAAATAACATATATAATTCATAGTTTACTACTTTTTTCAGTATACCTGAAAAATGATAAGACCAATATCTTATTATAAATAATATTATTGTCAATACAGTCAATACATGACATTGATTTATAATTTTAATGAATGAAATTCAAAGTCGGAGTATAAATTCTAGTAGGTCTACTTTTAAGACGGCGCTGAGACGTGCGTCGCTTATACACGACGAACGCCTTTACGCTTCTTTTAGTTCCTTACGGCAAGTCTAGATCTTTTATTTTTGTAACGAGAAACGTTCGTTTTCAATTTAATCTGTTAAAATTTACAATAGGTTTGGCTTGGCGTAAAACTAATCTAGTCTATTCTAATTTGTCATTACCGATGGTTGCTTCTTAATATTATTACTTATTATTACAATCATATTTTCATTACTATGTAAATAAGACACTGTTTAAATTTTTTCGTAATGTTTGTTTTTTATTCGTTTATTTTTAATTAATAATTGCTCCATCATTTTTCTTCATCCCAATAGCTATTTCTGTAAAGACATGAAACTGTACAATAAAAAATAAAGAATTTACTACTTAATTATGTTTACTTACTCAATATAAATTATTTATATAATAAGTTGTTTCACTTCAGGATTAAGCATTATAATAATGGCCATTTACCTAAATTTTACCTAGAACCTGTGTGTGCGTGTGAGGTAGTACTTGCGAGCGCGCGTTTGTTTGTGTGCATGCATGCGCGGGTGTGTACGTGCATACGTCCGTGCGTGCCTGTGTGTGTGTGTGTGTGTGTGTGTGTGTGTGTGTGTGTGTGTGTGTGTGTGTGTTACGGCCCTCAGTTACCCCGACAAAAGTGGACAGGATTAGGTCCCATCAGTAATCCAACTCGACTAGCAACCGAGGGGGAGGGCCCAATGCCCTATGGATAATTCATTTATAACGGCTGTATAAGCAAACTTACCGAGCTCCGGAGGTAGTGTCGACCATAAGGTATCGTCAGGGGTAAGTAAATGGTATGTATGAGTGGTGTTAGAAAGTGTGTAATGTAACCTGATGTCGCCGAGATAATCGTTCAGCAGAACCACGTGCATTGCCCGCTCCACAAGGTGCTCACCGCTATCGGAAGTCAAAGTCTAACGTTTAGCGTTCAACCGACAAAGCAAATTACTTAGTGCGATATTAAAACACAACACAAGCCACGCGTCGATGCAAATTAAGAACAATCTAAGTTAAAATAGTCACTCAAACAAAAAGCCTTGTTGTCACGTATATTAACGAAATAATACACACAATCGAGGCCGTCGCAATGCGACGTAGCTCTAATCGACACGGCCGTCGCGTCCAAAGATTCTTCTAGACTAATTTCCCGACCCACCACCGGCACGGCTACAGCGCATAAAGATTCCAACAGACTGGCCGGCACCGCCGTAGGCGCAAGCGAATGCCCCCCACCCGCGCAATGCTAAACCGGTTCCCCGCTCGGAACTAGCGCCTTGCAAGTTGTAGCTTGCTACAATCGGGCGTAAACAGTGTGTGTGTATCTGCATGACTGTATGAGTACGAGATGTGCTAGATAGCTATCCCTAAGCAACGGGAAACTGCATTAAAATTTACGGCTATTAAGAGAAATCCTTCATGCTTAATCTACAGCAGTGGGTTATTATGAAGGAAGAAATGTATTACTTACTCGATTATATTTTCTGTGGCCATGACTAGACCTAAAAGTTATAAATATTGAATATGCAACATTATTTAAATATATAAAGCGTTAGTATAAAAATATTTTAGTTGAACTACAAATTGACTTCAAATCACTGACCTATATATATATAACGTACTTGTATATATAGAGGTCAGTGCTACAAATCTTCGATAGGAGTAATGGTACGTACAGACGTGCTCAAATAAAAGCGTGCTCATGAGCTTGCTTAAAATGAGTATGCTCTGCAACTGTTCATATTTACCAACGCTCTACGCATTAGACGTGGTATTTGACACCAGGCTCTCGGCCGAAATGGATGTGGTGGATGTGGACAAAGATATAGTGACAGTGCAATCCATTCAGAACTTAATAAAATAATAATATTGCT